CATTTCTATATAGAAAGCTAGCGCACGCCTAAAATCCAGCATATGGAGAAGCTGCTCTTCCTTATTCTTGTGTGGTTTCGGGAGGAAAGCTGGCAGGAAAAGAACCTGGTTACTATGAAATTGTGAAACCACCTTTGGAAGGAATGTGGGGTGGGGGCAAAGTTGTACCTTGTCCTTAAACAACATTGTATATGGTGGTTCTGAAGTAAGGGCCCTGATCTCTGAGACCCTCCTCGCCAAGGTAAATGCTACCAGAAAGATGACCTTCCAGGAAAGGCATGGCAAAAGGAATGATGCCAGTGGATCAAAAGGAGGGCCCGTAAGTCTTGTCAGGACCAGGTTTAAGTCCCATGTGGGAATGGGTTCCCGCATCTGTGGGTATAGCTTTTCTAAGCCCATGAGGAAGCAAATGGACATTTTGTGCGAAAAACCTGACTGACCATCCACCGGAGGGTGGAAAGTTGAGATGGCTGCCAGGTGTACTTTAGTAGATAAAATAGCTAGGCCTTGCTGTTTCAGATGAAGTAGATATGTCAGCACAGTCTGGAGAGGTGACCTAGTGGGTGACAGGCCTCGATGGGATGACCAAATGGAGAAACGCTTCCACTTGGTGAGGTAAGTAGCTCTAGTAGATGGTTTCCTGCTGCCTAGCAAAACCTGGCGGACTTGCTCTGAACAGGCCAGCTCCGCAGGATTTAACCATGGAGCTTCCATACAGTCAGGTGGAGGGTTTTGAGGTTTAGGTGGAGCATCCAACCGTGATCTTGTGAGATCAGCTCCAGGAGGAGGTGGGAAGAGGCATTAGGGTTTCTGCTGACAGGTCTAGTAATATGCCAAACCAGTACTGGCATGGCCAGACAGGGGCTATAAGAATAACCCCTACTCTGTCCTGCTCGACCTTCAGTAAGATCTTGTGCATCAGAGGAATGGGGGGGAAAGGCATTGTCCGAGGGAGCAGGAAAACATCTGTGAGAGAGCCCTGGCTCTGGCTGTGCAGGGAGCAAAACTGATGACATTTCCTGTTCTGCCTGGTTGCGAACAGGTCTATGAGGGGAGTCCTCCACCACGGGAAAATGGTCCTTGCTATGTCGGAGCAAAGGAACCAGTCGTAGTGAGAGGAGAAAGACCTGCTGAGGTGATTTGCTTTCTGGGCTCCCTGAAGGTGAGAAGCTTTGAGGTGAATCCAGTGCTTCATATAGAAGCAAATAGCCTCTTGACACAGGGAGGAAGTGCCGCCCTCCCTGCCTGTTGAAAAGATTGTTATTTCTGAATCAACATTTTGGGGAACTTTTCATTCTGTGAAAAAACTTATTTCCAATTTTCATCCCCTTTGGCTCAGCTCTAATTTAAACATAGTTCAATTTGTAACCAGGGTCAGTAGAGATGCATTAAGATTTACTGGGGCTCTGGACACAGAGAACATTACCCCCCTTCACACTCTCCCACAGTGAGTGCGGATTAATTATTCAGCTTTTATAAAGCAGCTTGAAGTTTAAAAACAAGAAATATACGCTACATATTTATTGGAAAAACACTAGACTGTAAGCTGTTCAGAGTGGGAGCCTTGTTTCTTTAAACGTGAAAGAATAAAACACTAATATAAAATAGTCAGCACAGAAATAAATATGAATGAAAATAGGTGGTCAATGCACTAAACATGTGGCTATTTTAAAGTTGTTATATTGTATGGTTTTGAATTAATAACCCTGCTGATACTTGTGACGGTAGTTTTGGAGCATATAGTTTCAGGTGAGTGTAGACAGCTGCAGGGGTCTGTACACATAAGACAGTATTATGCCAGAGAACTCTACCTAAGTGCCAAATATTGTAATAGCTGAGACATGAGGTATTTTATTAAAACAATATCTATTGTAAGTGTTGGAGACTGGCAGTCAGGAATCTTGAGTTTTCTAACTAGCAGTGATACTTGATTCACTTTGTGCGTGACTGTAGGCAATTCACTTAACCTCTGGGTGTTTCACTATACCCATGTGTAAAATGGGGGGAAGGAGAAGGGCTGGGGGACAGCTCTGCACGGAAGTGGGGGAAGGAGAGTGTCTGGGGGGGCAGCTCTGCATGGGAGGGAAGGGGAGGAGAGGGGCTGGGGGGCAGCTCTGCACAGTGGTAGCATGCTCAGTGCACACCCTACCACAGCTCCTGCATCTGTCCAGCCTGGCCAGGGGGCAGGGCCCCAGGGGTGGGAGAGGAGGAGCGGCGGGGGGGGGTGGGTTCCGGCCTGAGGTAGGGTTGCCAACTGTCTAATCACACAAACCCAAACACACTTGCCCTGCCCCTTCCCAGAGGCCCCGCCTCTTCTCCACATCCCCACCCCCACTCACTCCATCTCCTCTCGCTCCATTGCTAGCTCCCCCCCCCACTCACTTTCACTGGGCTGGGGAAGGGAGTTAGGGTGTGAGAGGGGGTGCAGGCTCTGGGCTGCGGGGTGCAGTTTGGGAGGGGGCTCTGGGCTGAGCCTGGGGCACGGGGTTGGGTTGCAGGAGGGGACGGGGGATGCAGGCTCCAGGAAGGAGTTTGAGTGAGGGCGGGGGCTCAGGTCTGTGGCAGGGGATTGGGGTGCGGGAGCAGGTGACGGATGTGGGCGGGCGGCTCTTACCTTGAGTGCTCCCAGAAGCCACCTGCATGTCCAGCTTCTGGGTTCAGGGGCAGCCAGGCAGCTCTGCGTGCTGCCCCTGCCTGCAGGCACTGTCCCTGCAGCTCCCATTGGCCAATGGGAGCTTCGGAGTCGGCGCGCAGGGTAGGGGCAGCATGTGAAGCCCCTGTGTCTGCCCCGTGCCTAGGAGCCAGTGGGATGTGCCAGTTGCTTTCTGGGAGACACGGTGAGCCAGGGCAGGTAGGGAGCCTGCCTTAGCCCCGCAGCGCCACCAACCGGAGTTTTAGCAGCCTATTAAAATCTCCCAGATTGGTTTCAGTAGCCACCAGGAGATCGATTCTGATTCCAGGAGACTCCCGGCCAATTTGGGAGGGTGGCAACCCTAGCCTGCGGGGAAACCTCACTATTGGTCAGAGTCCCTAGGCACAGGCCCCGTGGACCCATAGGTAATCCGCCACTGTAGTGCAGACAGGCCCGTTAGGGTGTGAATAATGGGCCCCCCACAGCAAGAAACAAAGACACATAAAATAAGGTGAAAAGCTGGAGAACTAGATGGAAGGATTTCTTTGTTCAGAGAGAAAACTCCTGGAACAGACTTGCTGAGAAAGGGCTGAATAAAGTGACCTATGAAGGTATTTTGAAATAAGTGAATATGCATAGTATCAGAGGGGTAGCTGTGTTAGTCTGGATCTGTAAAAGTGGCAAAGAGTCCTGTGGCACCTTACAGACTAACAGATGTATTGGAGCATAAGTTTTCGTGGGTGAATACCCACTTCATCAGATACATGTAGTGGAAATTTCCAGAGGCACGTATAAATATGCAAGCAAGAATCAGGCTAGGGATAACGAGGTTAGTTCAATCAATTTGCAAATGAACTGAAGCTCAGCAGTTGAAGTGTTCTCCTACAGGTTTTTGTATATTGCTATTCCTAATATCTGGTGAATGAACAATACAGACAACCCGCCAACGTGAAGCATATTCTCATCAGCAACTACACACCGCACCATAGTAACTCTAACTCAGGAACCAATCCATGCAACAATCGATGCCAACTCTGCCCACATATCTACACCAGATCACAGGACCTAACTAGATCAGCCACACCATCACCGGTTCATTCACCTGCACGTCCACCAATGTAATATACACCATCATGTGCCAGCAATGCCCCTCTGCAATGTACATTGGCCAAACCGGACAGTCTCTACGTAAAAGGATAAATGGACACAAATCAGATATTAGGAATGGCAATATACAAAAACCTGTAGGAGAACACTTCAAGCTCCCTGGACACACAATAGCAGATTTAAAGGTAGCCATCCTGCAGCGAAATACTTCAGGCCCAGACTTCAAAGAGAAACTGCTGAGCTTCAGTTCATTTGCAAATTTGATACCCTCAGCTCAGGATTAAACAAAGACTGCGAATGGCTAGACAAGGACAAAAGCAGTTTCTCCTCCCTTGGTGTTCACGCCTCAACTGCTAGAAGAGGGCCTCATCCTCCCTGATGGAACTAACCTCGTTATCCCTAGCCTGATTCTTGCTTGCATATTTATACCTGCCTCTGGAAATTTCCACTACATGCATCTGATGAAGTGGGTATTCACCCATGAGACCTTATGCTCCAATACGTCTGTTAGTCTATAAGGTGCCACAGGACTCTTTGCCACTTTTAAATATGCACAGTTTGGCTAAATAATGAATAACTAGAAGGCATAATTCACTACATGCATTCAAAGGGAAATTCTTTAGGGGACTTGAACAGGTAACATTAGGAGTAAATGTGCTGAAACCAAGAAAAGGGGAGCATTTCAGGAAACATTTTCTAATTGTGAAGGGGCTCCCAGACTGTGGAGTAGTTTCCCAAAGGGAAGGGGGTTGGAAGTCCCATTAGCTGAGGCACTTACAACTAGTATTACATAAATCCCTGGAACATGCCATTCAATTCTAGGACAAACCACTTGTCACAATGCTACATGCTGTGGCCGGCTGCACTTCATGGGAGCAGCAGGGATGGAACTTACAGGCTGGTGTTCCAAACCCCCAGGCCTCGACCACTTCATCCAAAGGAGACCCTGTTACATGTTAACCGTATCAGACCCCGGCACACAGCTGAGTATTTCTGTTTCCATCCCGTAGTGGGCAGAGAGTATCTATAGTCCCACAGTTCATGTTTACAAGTAAGGAACAATCCCACACTAGTCGCTAACTGGAAAAGGTGAGGGCTACTGGACACAATGGTGCTTAGCAGATCTTTTTCCACAGACCCTTTCCCCCTGGCTGGCTGTGCAGGGCAGAGCCCTAGCTGGATGGGACACATGTTGGCCTGAGAAGTTCTGGGGCTGAGCAGGGATAAGGGAGTTGGGAACAGAGAGGCCAGGAGCCATTGGTCAGGGTGGTGAATTTATTTATTTGTAATGTTTGTTTCCCTCTTGTTGCGGCTGTTTTCTCTCTGTCGCTCCCTCCAACCACCTCAGCCTGAGCAGAGGCTAAGTGGGTGGGACGTAGGAGGCTCAGAACACGACTCCATCCCTCACACATTGCTCTGCTCGGCTCCCACTGTGAGGGGGAAAGGAGCGGGAACAGGAAGGGTTTAGAGAAGAGACTGGCTAGGCCTCTCCCGGGGCTTGGGCACAGAGCCAGCAACACATATCCAGGGCTGGGCACAACTGCTCTGCCGCAGGGAGCAGAGCCCTGCCAGGGCCCCAGGCAGGAGATTCCGTGGCCCTGATCTCTCCCTCCCAGGGACAGGGCCTTGCCTCATCTGCCTCCACACGGAGCGTCTCATAGCGCCGGGGAGTTGCAGCACAGGATCCAGCGCAGGCTGTGTCAGCCTAGGGTCTGCCTGGAACCATCTCTGCCATGTCTGACACTGAAGAGCAGGGATGGACCTGGGGCCACAGGATGCATAGGCTCAGCTCGGACATTTGCTTTAGGAGCGAAGTGCAATGTTCCCTCTAATTTTTGACATGCTGTGTGAACAAAAAAATTTCTTCTGTGCAAATTTTTGACAGGCCGTGTACACAAAAAACTTCTCTGCAAATTGTTGTGCTTCTGTGCAAATTTTTGTGCGCGCAGTGTTTCGCCATGTGTGCGGGGTTTAGGATCTGTGGGTGCGCGCACACGCGCACAGCTTAGAGGGAACAGCGGCGAGGTGCTGATCTGGGGAGCACGGCCTCTCCCTGACCCTTTGTTCCTATGGGACCCGGCCCAGAATGGAGTGAATCCATTTACACCAGAGCCATCAGTGCCCACGGGAGGGAAGGGAGCTCCCTGCATTGGGACTGAGCACCTGCCTGTGGATCAGCACCAGGGGCATGAAGCCCAGAGTAGCCCCTGGATGCTGAGATCCTTCCCTGGGCCTCTCAGTCCTGCAGAACAAGGGCTGGGAGAAGGAGGCTTCTGCTGAGTCCTGCTACTGGGAGACCTTCCCCTCCTCTGTCTGCCTGGCTCTCCTGTGCTTTGGTTCTTTCATTCACTCTCTGATCCTCCCTGTCACAGATATTTTGGCTCCTCTGATCCTAGCCCGAAGCAGGAAGCTCAGACCCAACTGCTGGGGAGAGGGGTAAAGAATCTGAGCTTATAGGACAGGCTGAGTGGCCTCAGGTTCTTATTTTATCTGAGCCCAGACAGCCCATCTCTGAAAACTTCACAGAAACAAGCTGCCCAGTGAGATGTCAGGGACTTGTTGGCTCTGATTGGGCTGGAGCCCTCGCCCTGCCCCAGGAAGAGCCTCTCACAAACCATTGCAATGGCCCAATTTCCATAGGGCTCATGAGGCAGAGGCTGCGGGGTGAATGGAGCATCTATCCCCCGGAATAAGCAAAGACGCCATCAATGCAGGCAACAAACCCCTGTGCAGGGGAAAAAAGCCACCAGCTCCGAGTGCACGGGGGATGCACTGCCTGGAGCTGAGCTCTCACAGCGGGGAGTAGATCTGGGGGTGCTGTGGGCAGGACGAGGGGAGGAAATGGCTCTTCATACGCTACCTTTGCTGCAGAGGGCACTGTACTCGGCGATGGCAAATTCATCTGGAAGGCACAAGGGAAGGGAGATGTGACCAGGGCTGTGTGAGACCCAACCAGGACTCCTCACACTTCCACCAGGCCCGCGGCAGAGAGCTGGCACCGCACCAGAGATCTCAGGGAGGAGGGGAGGGAGCCCTCTCTCCAGGGGCACTGGGGGAACCTTGCTGGGCTCCATGGGAGGAAGGCAACGGTTACCCCAAGGCTACAGCGCAACAGGCATCTCCAGAGGGTCTGTGCCAGGTGCCCTATGTCCGTTTGCACCTTGCCTGACTCACGACCAGAGCCCAACGGCACCCCGGCGGTTTTGTCACCCAATGTCCTAGCTGGGAGCGGAGGAGCGAATGTGCCTCCCCCAGGTCAGCTGGGATCTCAGGGCAGGATCTGAACGCAGGACCCTCCCAGATCCCTGGGTTGGCACCTTCCCTCTACAGTGCGGGAGGGGTCTGGGCTCGTGGTGCGAGCATGAGGCCAGTGGAATATGATCCCTCGCCCATAATCCCTGTGTGCCCCACATTCTCATCTGGGAGAGGGGAGACGCTGCTGAGATGGGCCTGTTGTGTCCAGAGATGAGAGGGGGACGCTGTCTGCGTGGGGCAAACCAGTGTCAGGGATGGTGGCGGCAGGGCCGTTCAGGTTGGAAGCAGGAGGAGAAGGGAATGGGGTTTGCCCTTGAACCTGCACGGGCAGTCGCTGAGCAGGCACCGCTGGCGTGAGGTTCTCAGCTCAGCCCCAGGCCTGTCCCCACCCTCAGGAGGCAGCCCAGGGGTGGGGAGCTGGATCATCAAGAGAACGAGGCCAAACACAACCCTGAGCCCAGCAGGTCCCCCTGTGGCTGTGACTGTGGCCTCTCCCCTCCCTATGACAGGCCCATGGTGGCTAACGTCCCCCCAGCCCTGCCCCCACACACACCTGTCTCGTAGTAATCATAGACTTTCACCAGCGCCGGCTTCAGGCTCTGCACGGGGAAGTCCTGCTCCACCGTGAAGGAGAAACTCTGAGTCACATTGCTCACCTGAGGTGTGGGGGGGAAACAGACGAGATTCAGGAGGACGCTCTGAGCCACTTCACCCCCTCCTTCCCTATCTCCCCACCCCTTATCCTGCAGGTCCAGCATCTGCCCTCCTTGGCTGCAGGGCCTGGCAGGGATTCAGGCCCTGAGGGAGAAGGGAGACGCCCTGCCCCCCTGATTCCCCTCCCCCCAGGTACAAGCTGCTCTCCCTGATACCCATAGGCTGGGGGGAGAACAGGTCCCCAACTCTGTATGTTGCGGGGAGCAGGAAGTGCTGCACAGAAATGCTGGAGAGCAGTAGCAGCTGTGCAGGAATACATAGGTTTGTTTTCCCCGGCCAGTGCCTGGGAGATCCCCGCTCAGTGCCTCTATGAAAGGTATGTCAGGGGATGACTCTCCCTGGCCCATCCCGGCCCCATGTGAGCGCTCACCTGCTCCATATACAGCAGCACATGGTTGGTGCTCAGATCTGTGCGTTGGATGTGGTTATGTCCTTCCAGCTGCCAGTGGCAGAGAGAGAAGCAGGGTGTTACTGAGCCCCCTTTGAACCACCCCAGAATCCTAAGGAATGGGACGCTGAAGCAAACTCAGAATCGTTAGCATTTATCTTTGAGTTCTCCTGGGGGACAGGTGATTTCCCAGGGGATTGGAGGCAGGCAAACAGAGTATCTAGCTTTAAAAATGGGAACAAAGAGGACCCAGGAATTCATAGACCAGTCAGCCTAACATTCATACATGGAAATATAGCAGAAGAAATTATTAAACAGTCAACTTGTAAGGACCTAGAATGTAACAAGACTACAAGATAAAGCCAACCTGGATTTGTCAAGAACAAATTATGCCAAACCAACCTCACTTTCTGCTCTGAGAGGGTTACTGGCTTAGTGGATGGTGGTGGGGGAAGAGGGAGAGGAAAGCAGTAGTCATCATATATCTTGATTTTAATAAGGCTTCTGACACAGTCCCACATGCCATTTTCATAAGAAAATCAGGGAATTGTGGTCTGAATGAAATTATTATAAGGTGGATGCACAAGTGGTTGAAAGACTGTACTCAAAGGGCAGTCATCCATGGTTTGCTGTTAAACTGCTAGGGTGTATCTAGTGGGGTCCTGCAGTGGTCAGTCCTGGGTCTGGTACTATTCAACATGCTCATTCATCACTTGGATAATAGAGTGGAGAGCATGCTTATAAAATCTGTGGCTGTCACCAGCTGGGAGGGGCTGTACGCACTTTGGACAGGATTAGATTTTAAAATGACCTTGCCAAATTAGAGAATTGGTCCAAAACCAACAAGATGAAATTCAATAAAGACAAGTACAAAATACTACACTTGGGAAGGAAAAATTAAATGCACAACTACAAAATGAGGAATAACTGACTAGGGGGTAGTACTGCTGAAAAGGATCTGGGGGTTATAGAGGATCACAAATTTAATATAAGTCAGCAATGTGATGCAGTTGTGAAAAAGGCTAATATCATTCTGGGGTATATTAACAGGCGTGTCATATGTAAGACATGGTTTGTAATTATACCACTCTACTTGGCATTGGTGAGGCCTCAGCTGGAGTACTGTGTCCACTTCTGGGCACCATACTTTAGCAAAGATGTGGATAAAGTGGAGAGTCCAGCAAGCAGCAAGAAAAATGATAAAAAATGTGGCAGATCTGACCCATGTGGAAAGGTAAAAACTCTGGGCATGTTTAGTCTTGAGAGAAGAAGCCTGAGGGGAGAACCCGTTAACATATTTGAATACTCTTAAGGGCTGTTATAAAGAGCATGGTGATCAATTGTTCTCCATGTCTGCTGAAGGTAGGACAAGAAGTAATGGGCTTAATTTGCAGCAAGGGAGAGTTAGAAAATTTGTCCTAATATCTAACCTAACTGTAATGGTAATTAAGCACTGGTACAGGCTTCTAAGGAAGGCGGTGAATTTCCCATCCCTGGACATTTTTAAGGACAGGTTAGACAGACGCCTATCAGGGATGAGCTAGGTTTACATGGTCCTGCTCCCTCACAGGTGGCTGAATCTGATGACCTCTTGTGGTCCCTCCCACTCCTACAGTAGAGTCCTGTGTGGGACTATTTTTTAATCCCACTCCCACCCGTTCCCGCTGTTATGGCAACGGGTCCTGCGGGATCTCAATCCCACTGCAGAGCTCTACACTAGTCGCACACAGGGCTCTATCCTATAGCTCTGTGATTCTTTGCTGGTGCCATAGGCACTGACTCTGTGGGTGCTCTGGGGCTGGAGAATCCATGGAAAAAAATAGTGGGTGGCCCACTGATCAGCTCCTCTCCCTCCCCCCCCCGGCACCTCCCACCTACTGGTGGTCAGCTGTTCAGTGGTGTGCAGGAGGCTCTGGCGGGGAGAGAGAGAAGCAGGGGCAGGCAGAGGCAGAACGAGGGCAGGGTGCACTCAGGGGAGGGGGTGGAACGAGGTGGGAAGAGGCAGGGCGGGGGCAGCCCTTGGGGGAAGATGGCAGGTGTGGGCAAGGTCTGGGGCACAGCAGGGGTCAAGCAGCCTCGGCGAAACCAGGAAGTCGGTGCCTCTGGCTGCTGCTGCTTTAAAGGAAGAGGGAAAATCTGTACTGTGGCTCCATGGGCAGTGCGTAATGCAGCTGGGAGAGGCTAAGCCTCCCCAAACCTCCACTAATGCACCCAGCCGTGGCCCTGGGGCTGGGCTGCAGCAGAGCTCAGAGCTCCTCCAGGTGGGCCAGGGGTTGGGGCTGCTTGGCCAGGCCAGCTGGGGTTCCTCTGTCTGCAGTGGGGGGCTCAGGGCTCCTCTGGCCCCAGTGGGTGAGAGTATGGGGGCATAGGGGTGGGGCTTCAGGCAGATTGAGCAGGTTAGCGGTGGGGCCTCGAGTGGAAGGAGCGGGGCAGGGGCTAGTCTCCTCGAATGGGGGGGTTCGTGCACTGCCTATGTATGGCCCCGCCCTCCTGGTGGACTGAGATGTGAAGTACCACAGTCTGAGACCTGTGCGGCTGGGCCACAATCAAGAGCAGCATCAGCTCAGTGTCTGACCCATCCTGTGTGGGGAGGGCTGGGGCTGTGGGCAGGGCTGGGGCTCTAGGCACTGCCTCCCCTGAGCTGCTCATAGGCTTCATTAGTCTGATGGCATCCCACCTCAGGGCCCCTCAAGGGACACCTCCCAACGTCTGAATCTCCCTGAGGAGATGCAGGGCCCAGGAGTTGCGGGGTGTGTGTGTGCGTGCGTGTGCGTGTGCACGCACGCGGGGCGGGGGTGTTAGAGCTGGGGGAGAAGAGAGGGATGCAGGGAGGTGGGGGCTCCTCACTCTCTCTCCCAAGCACCCCGTGAGCCCAGCCTGACTTCCCCTTACAGGAACACTGCCCCCTCCAGGGGAGAGTGTGAGGTGCCTCCAGCCGGGCCTGCTCCCCCTGTGCGTAACAGTTTACCAGGGAGTCACGGAGTGGGAGCTCAGGGGGATGGGATGGGATGGGATGGGGAAGGAGTGGGGTTTCAGGGGAGGGTCAGAAAGAAGAGATAGGGTCAGAGAGACGGGAGACAAGGGGGGGGCTGATTCTGGAGAAGGGACTAGGGAGTGGCCAGGCTGCACTGGCAAAATGAGGGGTTGGGGTTTGGAGCTGACTGGGGGCCAGATACCCCTGAAGTGGGGTTTGAGTCAAGGGGCCCTGGATGCCCACTGGGTGAGGTTGGGGTTGTGGGGAGCTGGACTCCACTGGGTTGTGGGGTAGATACCCTGGGAGGGCTGTGACCCATACACAGAACTGGCCGTTACCTTCCTCACTGATGACTTCACAGGGATGAATCCTGACAGCATCTTAATGTCAACGATGACCATGTTGGAGACAGGGCGTTTCCCTGTGTAGCTGGGAGACCAAGCAGGAAACAAAACAAGGTTTAATACATCTCAGCATAGAGATGATGCACCTCAACCCTGACCTGCAGCACCTCACACCCTGCCTGGCTCCTGCTAGTCTGGCCCTGGTCCCTGGCTCCCTGTCCTGCCACTACCTTTCATTCCTGCCCTGCAGCCCAGCCCCGCTGCTATCCCAGTCCCGGGCTCCCCACACAGCTCTTCCAGTGCCCCTCAGTCCTGCCCTTGGAGCAGTGGAAGTTTCTTGAAAGTCCCTGAAGCAAGACGGTATCCTTTCCGATAAGGGGTTTAGTTAAATTATTCCCATCGTTGGTGGCAAGAGGAGGAGGGAACAATTGAAATCAGGATTTAAATCACTTGGTTTTTTTAAATTATTGATTTAAAATAGAGTTGAGGTTTTGTAAAAGCAACGTAAGTATTGGTGCTGTTGCTACGTTAGATTGCAGTTTGTGATGAACTAAGTTATAAGACTTGGGTTTCTAAATACCACTACGGCTAGGGGATCCTATCTGAATTTGACAGAACTTCTAGACAGAAAAACAAAATACTGGAAGTGAAGGTGCTGTGTCTACAAACTGTTTAGCAGGTACTGTAGGGGATATATAGAACAGGTACGGTTTGAATGATCAATAACTAGTGATTCTTTCCGGCCCTCAAAAATGAGAAAAGCTATCCACCTCTGTTTTACCCCCAAATAGGATGCACTTAGGAATAACAGGGTTCACATCAGGTGAGACCCTTTGTCTAAGGACCCACAGATCAGCCAAGGTAAGGAGTTGCTCTCTCCAAGAACAGAAACTAAAATGGCTAATGAGAGTATTGTTAATCACCTAGAAAAGAATCTCTCATTATTTGCATATGGACAAAACCTCTTTCTCCCTCCTAATTTAGCTAAAAAGAACTCCAAGTTATCAAGAAAGGGTCATTCCCTGCTTTCCTATACGAAGTGGCCCACGGCACATTGAGTGGGTCAAGAGATGGGTGGGGAAGCTGCAAGCTAAACCGTGGCAAATCAAGTGTAAAAGTAAAATCAGGCAGGCCAAAAAAGAATCTGAGGAGCCACTAGCAAAAGGCATAAAAACTAACAGCAATTTTTTTTAAGTACATCAGAAGCAGGAAGCCTGACAAACCTCAGTGGGGCCACTGGACGATCAACGTAAAGGAGCAGTCAAGGAAGAAAAGGACATTGTGGAGAAGCTAAATGACTTATTTGCATTGGTCTTCACTGCAGAGGATGTGAGGTAGATTCTTACACTTGAGCCATTCTTGTTGGGTGAGAAATCTGAGGAACTGTCCCAGTTTGAGATGTTAATGGAGGAGGTTTTGGAACAAGTAGATAGATTAAGCAGTGAATAGTCACCAGGACCAGATGGTATTCACTCAAGAGTTCTGAAGGAACTCAAATAGGAAATTGCAGAACTACTAACTGTGGCATGTAACCTATCGCTTAAATCAGCCTCTGTATCAGATGACTGGTGGACAGCTAAAGTGATGCCAATTTTAAAAAAAAGGCTCCATTGGCGATCCTGGCAATTACAGTCCGGTAAGATTAACTTCAGTACCAGGTAAATTGGTTGAAACTATAGTAAAGAACATACTGATCAGAAATAGATGAACACGATTTGTTGGGGAAGCGTCAACATGGCTTTTGGAAAGGGAAATCATGCCTCACCAATCCATTAGAATTCTTTCAGAAGGGTCAACAAGCATGTGGACAAGGCTGATTCAGTGGATATAGTGTCCTTGGACTTTCAGAAAGCATTTGACAAGGTCCTTCACCAAAGGCTCTTAAGCAAAGTAAGCTGTCATGGGATAAGAGTGAAGGCTCTCTCATGGATCAGAAACTGGTTAAAGAACAGGAAACAAAGGGCAGAAATAAATGGTCAGTTTTCAGAATGGAGAGAGCTAAAGAGCAGTGTCCCACAGGGATCTATATTGGGACCCGTGCTGTTCAATATATTCACAGATGATTTGGAAAAAGGGGTAAACAGTGAGGTGGCAAGCTTTGCAGATAATACAAAATTATTCACGACAGTTAAGTCCAAAGCTGACTGTGAAGAGTTACAAAGGGATCTCACAAAACTGGGTAACTGGGCAAAAAAAATGGCAGATGGAAATTGAATGTTGATAAGTGCAAAGTAATGCACATTGGAAGACATAATCCCAACTAACATACAAACTGATGGAGTCTAAATTAGCAGTTACCACTCAAGAAAAAGATCTTGGAGTCACTGTGGATAGTTCTCTGAAAAAAAATCTGCTTGGTGTGTAATGGGGGGATATGACTGAGGTGTATAAAATCATGAATGGTGTGGAGAAAAGTGAATAAGGAATAATTTAGCCCTTCACATAAAAGAACCAGGAGTTACCCAATGAATTTAATGGGCAGCAGACTTAAAACAAACAAAAGCAAGTACTTCTTCAAACAATGCAGTCAATCTGTGGAATTCTTTGCCAGGTGATGCTGTAAAGACCAAAAATATAACAGGGTTCAAAAAAGAATTAGATAAGTTCATGGAGGATAGGTTCAACAGTGGCTATTAGCCAAGATGGTCAGGGACGCAATCTCATGCTCTTGGGTGTTCCTAAACCTGACTCCCAGCAGTTGGGTCTGGATGAAAGGGGATGGATCACTCAGTAATTGCCCTGTTCTGTGCATTCCCTCTGAAGCATCTGGTACCAGCCAGTGCTGGAAAACAGGATATTGGGCTAGATGGACCATTGGTCTGACACAGTAGGACTGTTCTTATATTCTTATGACCAAACTACCTTCTCTTCACCATCTACAGGGGTGGGAAAGTACATCTTTCTGTAGTCTGTACAGAGCTGTATTAATCTTTGGTTAAATAATCTCATTTGAGCTTGTTATTTGATAATCTTGAATCGTTATTAAATGCAAACTTGCAACATTCTATATGTGGAAAATATCTCGTTTTAATACATAATGTGAAATGCTTATGTACAATAAAAGAATGTGTGGAGTATGTCCTCCAAATTTAGAAGATTATAAGGGATTTTGTTGGTTTTCATTGTAAATAATTGCTGTGGTCTAGCAGTAATAGGAATTGTCTGGCACAAGGAAGAAGAAATGTTAAAAGATGTAAACCAGGGTATAACCTGGGAAAGTGACAGAAATTGCTTAAAAGGGGGGATCCTAATTGATAGTAGGGACTAAAAATGAAATACTGTCCTTGAAATGAATAAACAGCCTCCAATAAGAAAATAATTGAACAAATTTGTTACACACAAAGCATGTACTGAATACCAATGGAAGCAGCAGGCAAACTGAAAGAATAGGAATAAGAGGATGTCCCTTACCCTCTTAGGAGCCCTGAAACTAGAATATATAAACTGTATTTTTAGTAAAAAATTCTCCTTTAGTGGCATAAAATCTCTGTCACTTCAGATCCAAACTGGTTCAATGTTAGCACTGGGAAGTTATTTCAAAACACTAGCTAAGTCATTGTGAGCTTTTTGATACACACTTTCAAAAATAGGAGCTTAAAGTTAGGTCTGCTCTACACTACAGACCTATACCTATGTCACTCTAGGGTGTGAAAAATCACAACCCAAGTAATGTAGTTATACGAATCTAACCCCCCATGGAGACAAAGCTATGCTGGTGAGAGAGCTTCTCCTGTCAATATAGCTAGTGCCTCTTGGGGAGGTGGATTAACTACACTGATGGGAGAGCTCTCTGCAGTCGGTGTAGAGCGTCTTTATTAAAGTGCTTCAGCAGTGTTTTAAATGTAGACTTGTCCATAGGCTCTGTCAAGGTTCCTTCCCCATTCTGAACTCTAGGGTACAGATGTGGGGACCTGCATGAAAACCTCCTAAGCTTACTTTCACCAGCTTAGGTTAAAACTTCCCCAAGGTACAAACTATTTTACCCTTTGCCCTTGGACTTCCACTGCCATCACCAAACGTTTATCTGGGTTTATTTTTATTAGGAAAGCATTGTTTGGAAATGTCTTTCCCCCCAAAATCCTCCCAACCCTTGCACCCCACTTCCTGGGGAAGGTTTGGTAAAAATCCTCACCAATTTGCATAGGTGACCACAGACTCAAACCCTTGGATCTTAAGAACAATAAAAAAAGCATTCAGGTCTTACAAGAAGAATTTTAATAGAAGAAACAGTAAAAGAGAAGTAACAATAAAAAGAATCACCTCTGTAAAATCAGGATGGTAAATACCTTACAGGGTAATTAGATTCAAAACATAGAGAATCCCTCTAGGCAATACCTTAAGTTACAAAAAGACACACAGACAGGAATATCCATTCTATTCAGCACAGCTTAATTTCTCAGCCATTTAAAGAAATCATAATCTAACGCATATCTAGCTAGATTACTTACCAAGTTCTAAGACTCCATTTCTGTTCTGTCCCCGGCAAAAGCATCACGCAGACAGAGCGAGCCTTTGTTTCTCCCCCCCTCCAGCTTTTTAAAGTATCTTGTCTCCTCACTGGTCATTTTGGTCAGGTGCCAGCGAGGTTATCCTAGCTTCTTAACCCTTTACAGGTGAGAGGATTTTTCCTCTGGCCAGGAGAGATTTTAAAGGGGTTTACCCTTCCCTTTATATTTATGACAGGCTCTGAAGCCTATATTTTGGCATCTTAGGGTGGGTATTGTAAAAGCACTGAAATGATTTAGGAGCACAAGTCTGATTGAACTTGGCCTGCAAATCCTGATGAAGGAGAATGCCTGGGTCAAAGCATACAGCTCCTGTGACTGGGGGCAGTTCGCTCTGTGGGAGGGTGGTGGTGGTTGCAGGTATAGGATGGGCTACTGGCCGGGCAGTTTTGTGTCTGAGTTTATGTTGCTCTCACACTAAGGGTGTTACTGAGATGCTGACTTGTCCTTTTCAGCCTCAGAGAAACCAGCACAGCACAATCACTCTAACAATTTAGCGGGAGAAAGTAAAGAGCTAGCAATACAGAAATACAAAATCTGATTGACATTGAAAAGAGCAATTGCAATTAAGAAAATACCATGATTTAATGTAAAAAATCCGTTTTTAATTTTTGGAAAAATCAAAAATATTGATTTGTATCAGCTTTTCTGGGGGCTCCCCATACCTCTGGAATGACTTGTCCCCAGCCCTAGGGCTGCTCTGGAAGGTTTGGCACTGCGAGGGGGAGTTACCTGATGTTTATGGTGATGTCAAAGGTCCTGTGAGCCTTGATGCTGTCACACGTCTCAGGGACCGTGTGCACCTCCAGCGCAAATGGTGCCTCGCCTGGCTTGGGGAGCACATTGTACCTCAGGCTGGTCTGGAAGAGAATACACAGTTCTCTGTGTCTGTCCATCTGTCCCTCTCCTCTCTGCTCTTCTCCTCCATCTCCTCCCCTCGGCTCAGTTTCATTCTTTCCTTTATCTCTTCTCTCTCTCTCTCCCCATTCCCCAACTCTCTCTGTTAACTCTCTCTCCTCCTCACACCTCTTTCTTATATTCTCCTCCTCTTCCGCATCTCTTCCTCTCTTTTCCTTCCCTCCCTCCCCTCCCCAATCCACCCCATCATGCCATCTCCAATGGGAATGATACGGGCTCCCTCAGCAGCAGCCTCTCCCTCTCCCCCTGTCCCAGGGTCCCATACCTGCACGTAGACACATCCTTCTCCTGTCACCCCCATGCTGTAGTCCCCTGGCACCTCTGGCAGTGCCATACGCTGGAGCAGCAGACGGTTCGTGTGATCCACCTGGAACTGGGCCTGGAACTTCCCTGTGGATTGCAGGGTCACTGTGGACGCTCCTCCTCTCTTGGCATAGGTGGAGACTCCATATCGGGATAGCGCCTGGAGCGCCACCACTGTGTCCTGCCAGACAAGAGATAGGCCCAGGTGCCCAAGGGAAAGAATGAGCCATTTCTATGGGCCTGGAGCCCCCACTCCACCAGCTCTTCCTACACAGCAGTGCCCTGATTTTCCCATTTTCACTCATCACTCCCACAAGCCATTCACTCTATTCCCTTGGGCCCAGATTCTCAAAGGTATTTAAGCACCTTTCTCCTCCTGAAAGCAGCCAAGCATCTAAGTACCTTAGGGAACCTAGGCCTTGGTATCTCTGACACTTCACCACAGGCATCTGAGGGAAGATGCCACCACCCTTCCCTGAAGGACCAACCTGAAGGGATAGCTCAGGACCAAGTGAAATGGGAGCTGCCTGTGGCTCAGAGAGGACCATAGTGAGGCAGCCAGGAGGCTCAGTAATGGAGTATGAGAAAGTCTTACAGCCCTTTGGGTATCAAGCCAACCAGGGAAATGGTGGAACATGGGGCCAATGATTGGTCCTGTCTAGAGAGGTCGTCTCCTGAGGTCCCAGCCTCCAAGTACCAGCATGGCCTGTACCCGCTCAAAGTGGGAGGTGGCATCTCCTGTTTGGTTGTCACTCAGGATGGCGCTTCCTCCCCTTTCCAGGTGTGTCTGGAAGTGACTGGCTGCTGCTGCTTCTCTGGGGAGGCCTCAGCTCCCGAGCTGAATTGGCCTGGTTGGATGGGGTCAGTGCTGGGAGAAGCTGGGGATGGCACTGCACTACCTTGCGAGTGCTCAGGGCGACTCTTCTGACCTCCATACACAGGAGCATCACTTGTCCAGTCTCCTGCCTCATAAGCCCCCCTGGGCCTGTGAGGACCTGATGTAGCCATGCTCTATGCTGTGACTATCCCATTATCTAAACTAAACTATACAGCCAGGGGAATGCTACCCCTTCCCTCTCCCCAGGTCAGCCTTCCCCTCCCCCTGGATTATTTGTCTGTCTCCTGCCCTTTCCTGTCTGCCTCCCACTCCTGCCCTGGATGTCTGAGGCTTGGGAGGGGAATAGATCACCTGGGTGGAGGAGAAGCCCCCATTGGGATTCTGCTGCTTGCTGATCCACTTTGCAATTTGAGTTGCTAATGACAGGTCTCCTTGGGATGGTGCCGGCCGCGTGGTGAGGTAAGCGAGGAGCACATAGGACGTCATCTCCACCTCGGCAGAAGGAGCACGGGGGTGATAGAAGGGGAGATCTGCCTCCGGCTCCTTCCCAGGCCTCTGCCAGTGAATGGAGCCATCTGCAGTGGGAGAAGGAAGAGGGAGGGCAGGAGAGAAGGAAATACAGATGCTTAGTACATGCCATTTCTAAGGGGGTTATTGACCTGCTGCTGCTGCGGGTGGGAGAACAGAGCCCCCCGTGCTAGTCTGGCATATTGTCATGAGACTCAAAAGGATTAAATAGTCCCTCACTTGTTGATCTGGTGGAATTATACAAATCTTGTGGTATGAACACTCAGTGACTAATCAGGCTGCCACCTCTGCCACCAATCACACTTGGAGTTGCAGCTAGCAAGAGATGTTAAGAGTAACAAGAAGGGTTTCTTCAGGTATGTTAGTAACAGGAAGAAAGACAAGGAAAGTGTGGGCCCCTTACTGAATGAGGGAGGCAACCTAGTGACAGAGGATGTGGAAAAAACTAATTTACTCAATGCTTTTTTTGCCTCTGTCTTCACGAATAAGGTCAGCTCCCAGACCGCTGCACTGGGCAGCACAGCACGGGGAGGAGGTGACTAGCCCTCTGTGAAGAAAGAAGTGGTTCGGGACTATGTAGAAAAGCTGGACAAGCACAAGTCCATGGGACCGGTTGCGCTGCATCCGAGAGTGCTACAGGAGTTGGCGGATGTGATTACAGAGCCATTGGCCATTATGTTTGAAAACTCATGGCGATCAGGGGAGGTCCCGGATGACTGGAAAAAGGCTAATGTAGTGCCCTTCTTTAAAAAAGGGAAGAAGGAGGATCCTGGAAACTACAGACAAGTCAGCCTCACCTCAGTCCCTGGAAAAATCATGGAGCAGGTCCTCAAGGAATCAATTCTGAAGACTTAGAGGAAAGTGATCAGGAACAGTCAGCATGGATTCACCAAGGGCAAGTCATGCCTGACTAATCTAATTGCCTTCTGTGATGAGATAACTGGCTCTGGATGAGGGGAAAGCAGTGGACGTGTTGTTTCTTGACTTTAGCAAAGCTTTTGACACGGTCTCCCACAGTATTCTTGCCAGTAAGTTAAAGAAGTATGGGCTGGATGAATGGACCATAAGGTGGATAGAAAGCTGGCTAGATTGTCGGGCTCAACGGGTAGTGATCAATGGTTCCATGTCCAGTTGGCAGCCGATATCAACTGGAGTGCCCCAAGGGTCGGTCCTCGTGCCAGTTTTGTTCAATATCTTCATAAATGATCTGGAGGATGGTGTGGATTGCACCCTCAGCAAGTTTGCAGATGACACTAAACTGAGAGAAGAGGTAGATACACTGGAGGGTAGGGATACGATACAGAGGGACCTAGACAAATTAGAGGATTGGGACAAAAGAAATCTGATGAGGTTCAACAAGGAGAAGTGCAGAGTCCTGCACTTAGGACGGAAGAATCCCATGCACACTACAGACTAGGGACCGATGGCTAGGCAGCAGTTCTGCAGAAAAGGACCTAGGGGTTACAGTGGACAAGAAGCTGGACATGAGTCAACAGTGTGCCCTTGTTGCCAAGAAGGCCAATGGCATTTTGGGATGTATAAGTAGGGGCATTACCAGCAGATCGAGGGATGTGATCGTTCCCCTCTATTTGACATTGGTGAGGCCTCATCTGGAGTACTGTGTTGTTTTGGGCCCCACACTACAAGACGGATGTGGGAAAACTGGAAAGTGTCCAGCAGAGGGCAACAAAAATGATTAGGGGACTGGAACACATGACTTATGAGGAGAGGCTGAGGGAACTGGGATTGTGTAGTCTGCGGAAGAGAAGAATGAGGGGGGGATTTGATAGCTGCTTTCAACTACCTGAAAGGGGGTTCCAAAGAGGATGGATCTAGACTGTTCTCAGTGGTAGCAGATGACAGAACGAGGAGTAATGGTCTCACATTGCAGTGAGGGAGGTTTAGGTTGGATATTAGGAAAAACTTTTTCATTAGGAGGGTGGTTAAACACTGGAATGCGTTACCTAGGGAGGTGGTGGAATCTCCTTCCTTAGAAGTTTTTAAGGTCAGGCTTGACAAAGCCCTGGCTGGGATGATTTAGTTGGGGATTGGTCCTGCTTTGAGCAAGGGGTTGGACTAGATGACCTCCTGAGGTCCCTTCCAACCCTGATATTCTATGACTCTATGACTCTGTGCCTACATCCCCTTTATCTTATAAAGGGACATCCCAGGAATGGACAGTAGCAGCCTTTTTTGGGCTCTTTGATCCAAAAAGTGTGAGGTCACTAAGTGGCCCCAGGCGCTCAAGGCTGAAGGGTTACAGCAGTGACGGTCACACCCCACTCCAGCAGGGTGAAGAGCCCATAAGTCCTTCTCTTACCAGCACAGTCCCAGTTCTTCCTGGGATTTCCTGGGACATCAGGACCCTTTTTTGGGCCCCCCCAGAATGATCTGTTTTTTCATTTGATCTGTCCAAACATCAGGCTTCTCCTCTTCGTTTGTCTCTTGCTGTAGGGAGCAGATGTCACTCTGTGCGGACCAGGGGCCATCGCTCCCATGGAACGAGTGTCCAGAGCGAGGAGCAGCGCTTGGAGTGAGGAGTGGAGTGGAGCCAGCGAAGACACCGGCAGAGCTGTGCTATTGCTCAGTGTGAATGGTACCATTTATTCAGGGGTTCAGGATATGCTCACTCACAGCACTGAGGTGTTGGGGGACCCCCCAGATACACCTGTGTCACTGCAAAGTCAGGCACCGGCAGCCCTGGCCCCAACTCATGTTTTTTAAAAGTTTCCTTTGTCTTTACATGAATATTTCAGCGCCTTTTTTTAAAAAAAGCCACCATCAAACCGTCCCCCAGGAACTAGCCCTAGGGAAAGGGGACTCAGCCCCAACTCTCTCTGCCCTGGTGATGCCCCCTGTCTGGGGAGCTGTAAGGCATCTGCCAGTATCCTAAAATGTGCCCCTTGATGCTTCTCCCCATTTATGCCCCTTGGACCAAACCATCCTCTGCCTCACCTACTGCCCCCTGAGCTGCTCTTGGCGCTGGCCCGCTCCTGGGCTGCTGTAGACAGCAGAGCCTGCGGGGGGTGGAGGAAGCTAGATGCCACTGGGATGCTTCCTCCCCCTGCAACAGACTCCCTCCTCAAAATGGGCAACAGTCCGTTGGTGGTGGTGGGGGGAACAGGAATCCTCCTGAGGCAAAGGGGGAGAGGAGGGTAGAGACGGCCTGGACCCAAAGGAGTGGGGAGAGGGAGAGGGAAGGAGAAACCAGGGGAGAAAGAAAGAAAAACCTTGAGTGAGAGATCCTAGGGAGGAGGGCAGGAAAGGGAGGGAGAGACACTCAAGGAGGGTGGAAGGGAGAGAAGACGCCTCTAAGACCTGGCCAATACACAGATTCTGTGCCACGACAACTATTTTGGCTAGGGCTGTGACTTTTCTACTGGTACCTCTAGTCTGGGCACAGTTATACCAGCATAAAGGTGCTTTGTACTGGTAGAGCTGTAAGGGAACAGTTCTACTGGTATGAACACCTTCACACTGCTATAACTGTGTCCACACTGGGGGAATCGCACCACTTTAACTATACCAGTACAGCTACAGCAGAACGACTTTTATGTGTAGACAAGGCCGGAATGTTCATTTACCCTGGGGAAATGCTCTGTGCTAGAAAAGAAAAAGCATTAATCAACACGCTGGTCAACAGTACTCAGCACCTAGCATAGGCAGGGATGGTTGGGCTTATAAATGCATTTACTGTTTGTAAGCTTAGTCTATGGGGCGCCCTCAGGTGAGCCACAGGCAGCTAATGTGATTGGGTTGGCCATGACCAGCTGCTGTTTTTCACCCCACCTGACCCTGTCTAGACTAGATGCTGAGTTGTCTTTAGCAGTCTGTCAGCTAATGCACTTTCTAACACAGTGAGTTTCCTCACCTGCATGAGGCCTATGAGTGTGGGGCTGAGGCTCTGTGTTTGTGGGGGCTGGGGCAGGGGACAGAGAACCCAGGTGTCTGTTGTGAGGGGAAGGGAACTTGGAGTGTGCGTGTGCTGGGACTCTGCATAACAAGTCCCATGTGCACTAGGATTGTGGGCAGCTTGTGTGTGTGTGTGAATAGCTTTCGGCTGGGGGAGAAGGAGCCTGTGTGTGTGAGAGGATCCTGAGGCAACCTGGCATGTGCTTGTGCATTACCTTGTGCCTGGGGCAGGTTGGAGTGCGTGTGTGGGCAGAGAGATTTGGGGGGTGCAAGGCAGCAGGACAGTATGCCTGTGATTTTGTGGGCTGGGAAGTAGGGAGTATGTGAGAACTTTTGGTGTGGGAGGCAGGAGAAAGATTTGGAGACTTGGGGGAAGGAGGAAAAGAGCATGAGGAAAAGAAAGGAGAGACCAGCTATTTCACGGTATAGAAAAGGGGAAAACAGACTGAAACAAACAGAGGAAAAGCTAACAAGCTCCGGAGTAGAGGAAGGGGGCAAATGGAGGGAAGGCAGGGACAAGGGAAAGGGCAAATACAAGGGAGACAAATGCAAAGGGAATGTTGATATTTTACCTAATAGGTAGGTTGGATACTGAAGGGTGAATCAATGACCCAGTTTAAAAGAACAAGGGGTCCTTAAAAGGGCAGGGATACAACATGCTGTGAGGTCAGAAATGTGCCAGGGCCCTGGCTGCCTCTCTCTCAGTCTTGTTTCTTCATGTCAAATAATGTTCTCCCGCCTGGTCCTGGTCCCTCCTAACTTTCCCCTGCTATGATTTCCCCTCTGAGCACCTGTATATGATTCTCAATATATGGTCACCTTACAAGCGGGGGATGTAGGGCCCGTGGGATGGGATTCAGAAGAAGGGGCTGTCAGGAATTCTCACCTTCTTTCAGAGCTTCCTTATCAAGCGAGTCCAGCAGTGCCCTGCGCTTCTCCTCCCTCCCCACCAGGGCAAAGGCGTAGGCCAGTAGCGCCCTGGTGTACACGTGGTTTCCTCCCTGCTCTGCGGCCGTCTCCAAACAGAACAGAGCATTACGGACCACAGAGTGCTGTGTTGGGAGAGAGACATGAGCTGAGAGGGGGAGGGGAGAGGTCACCATGGCAGTGAATTCAGTCTATGAGCTCAGCAGACAGGAAACAATATGCACTTTTTCCATTTTATGAAGTATTTTTTCCAGACTTTCTGACACATGGGTAACTCAGAACAATAACTGATCTTTCAGAGCCAGATTCCCCAGGACACTGTCTCGCTTTCACCACTCCAGCAATGCGTAGTGGCTGGTTTACAGCTGCTTTGCATCACTAGGCTGGCACTAAGTACCCAGAGTGAACCAGTGAGTTTGGCCCTTCACGTTTGGTGAATGGCTATGGTGTACTGGGGAACCTGGCCCTTTAAATTTGTCCTGTGGTCGGTCCTTACTTAGGAACATTTGAAAAGCAAAGTTTGGAATCAGACATTCCCCGTAATGACATTCCAAGGGATACCAATGTGCGCAGGTCCATACGCAGCAGGACAGTTCATCTGTTTTCGTCAATGGCTGAGAATGGAAAGTCCAGCAGACAGCCCCATCTTCAGTGGCTTGAAACTTTTTCAAAATGTTTTGATCTGAACCTTCCTACCCCTTGGTGTCTGCTAAGCTAGAGGTCTTTCTGGGAAGTTGGAGAGAATCAGCTTAGCTGGTTTTGAGACAGGAAAGCCTGAAAACAAAATGCCTTGGGGTTTATACTCCTTCTACCGGAGAAGGGCTTAATCAGGACATCAACTTTCCTTAATTAACTACAGGGGATCAGGTTAGTCTAATGACAGTGGAAGGGAACTGGCTGCCACTTCATCGGGACAACGTTAACAAGTAGGCCATGTAGGGCCACATCCACTTGTCTTGTCCTACCGCAGCCAGTAGCAGCACACATCTAAAGCCTGGTCTGGACTCAAGTTACAGAACTCAGGTTTTCTGGGCACAGCCTGGCACACGTCCACGCTCAACTTGCCTACTGACAAAAACCCTACACTTTTGGGGGCATACTGACTCCCTTTTCTGGAGTGGCATAAGCCCCATTCCAGTGGGGTTATATCTACACAGTGGTCAGGTGCATGTTCACCGGAAGTACCAGTGTAAGCGGTCTTTCCACTGCAGTCCCACAGTGCAACTTTCTCTTTAGCAGAGACGGTCTGGCAGCTCTTTTGAACCAAAGGGTCCCAATGTTGGGAAGCCCGCCTGGCTTTTACACAGTCAGCACATTCTCCACAGCCACAGCTATTCCTGCTACTTGCTACCTTTTCCCACATGCTGAATGAACATTTCCCATAAGCACAGAAAAAGCTACGCAGCAAAATTTCCCCACAAGGCAGTGCCACTGAAAGCGGCACAGAGGACACTGGGATGCCTATCCACAATGCACCACACTTTTGCCAATCTGGCCTGATAGTAGGTGAACACAACACACTGGCACAAGTGGTCAGTGTGAACTCACTGCACCAATATAGTCTTTTTGGTTGCTCGCTGGTGATAAAACTTTTAGCAGTGCGACTTCTGGGTGTGGAGCAGACCTAACTGAAGGAGAACAGAAATCAACCCTTGATGGGGACCCATTTGGCTGGTGCCAACTGCCAAGGGGTTAAGTGTTATTTACCCAAGTGTTCAATATCTGTAAAACTCGGAGCTGTAGGCTTGTAAGAGAGGATCAAGCAAACACCAGCTCAAAAGTTTTAAAATAAAGATCATATAAAAGGATTAGAGATGAGACAGAGCCAGCGCCCTGGACTGGAAGAGAAGCTGCAGGGAAATCCAATCCCAGATTTGGACCTCAATTTAAAGTCTTTTCTGACTGGATTTCCCCCTTTTTTAAAGGCTTCTCTCTCAAGATGGGAGCTGGGGACCCCCAAGTTGGCAGCCTATGTCTGGCTTGAGGGGTTACAGGTACGTACAGTGATGGGCAGAGGAATCTCCAGCAGTGCGATGGTGATGTAGGCAGAGAGCGTGACCTCATCGTCCACCCCGCCCTGCAGGGAACCACAGAGAGAGACATTAACCCTGAAACCCTGCCCACTGGCCCCTCCTCCCAGGGGTGTTCTACATCCCTGTTCTTCCCACACTATGGTAGCTTCCATGTATCTGCTCCTCTTCTCCCTTCCCCTGCCCATGGTCGCTCCATGTATAGTATGGTACCCCCTGCTCTTGCCTCCCTTAGTAGATCCCATCTGCCCCAACCCCATGTGCGGCAGTGGCTGAGCTGTTCCCATGAGGAGTTGCACGCTCTCTCTGTGTCACTGGAGTCCTGTATGGGTCCCATGATGCCCATGGGAAGCTGGCTGGGCAGATACGTCACCTTTATGGCATTGTTCAGGAGCGTCCCGGAGCTGCGGAAGCAGCCGTTGTCCTTCTGCTTGCCAGCGAGCCAGGTCAGGGCGTCCTGGATGTGCTTCTCCTCGATGAAGATGTGAGAGCGGGCCTGCGCGAAGGACTTGAGGACGAAGGCCGTCAGCCTGCGGCAGAGAGTGGGCAACAGTGAGAGCTCCTTCCCATGCCCTCTGCTCGCTGGAGGGGTGGGGTCTTGGGGCATCGCCAGCCTGAGGGGAAGCAGCAGGGGCCGGAGAGCTGGTGGCCATGGGTCAGGGAACCATTAGCTCACTCAGCCACCTACTGACGTGCAGCAGAGCCTGGCGGCAAGACCCAGCAGTCGTCTGACAGGGCACAGCTAAACTGCCCGTTTTAGGACAGGAAGTGAGCCAGCTTCCTGTGTTGGTTTCAAATGGCTGGGGCACAGTTTAGGGGTGGGTTTAGGGGGTGGTTGTCCAGAACCCTTGGGAGAACAGACCTCAGAATCTTCAGTGACCAGGAATGGCCAGGATGCTGGCTCTGCACTTTCTTATATTAAAAACAGCAGCACAGCGCCCCCTAGCATCAGACTGGGGTCAGCACTCAGAGGGAGAATGCCCCTTACTGAGCCACCCACCCCGCTCCCTGCAGCACAGTGCCCCCTAGCACCACACTGGGGCAATAGAGTCAGTAGTGGCAGAGGGAAGAGCAACCCCTACAGAGCTGCCCACTGCCACTGCCTGCAGAACCTGTTTGTTCACCCGGCAAGGCATTCACTAAGCATTGAGGGGCTGTGATGGCTCCACCCTCAGTTACCAGCCTCTTCATTATCCTGAGGGCAGTGGTGGCCAAATTTTCTGGCTGAGGATCAAACCCATAATTAAAGAAAGGTCAAGTATCCACAGTCTGGACTTTGGGATGGATTCTCTGCCCTGTTCTGATCCCTGCACCTTACTCAGGTAACATAAAGGGAGCTGAAACTACCAACAAGTCACCCAGCAGGGGAATCTTTGGCTGGCACTTTTATGCCATCCTCCCTATAGCCCCTGGTACAGAAAGTGAGTGGCTGGAGTGTGCAGTGTTCTGGATACACCTAGCTGATGTATGGTCCTCAAGGGATTGTGACCAACTGGAGCAAGTTAGAACAGCCCCGAGGCTGCTCTGAGCTGAGCAGGGAATGAGGAGGCTTGTAAATGGTTATTAATCCAAAATCAAAGGCTTCTAGCATATGAACTAAAGGAGATCTCCCTTCCCTACCACCTCTCATAGTTGCCTTATCCCACATCATCAGCTCTAGAGCTCCTCCTCTTTCCTCCACACCTTCATGATCAGCACCTGTTAACAGTGGGCAAGCTCCAGGTTATAACAAGAGGAGGGAAAGAATTCAGCAACACTGAAATCTTACCAGGTGTTCCCTGATTGCCCATAACGTGGCCCAAATGTGCTGTAGGAGCCGTCCAAATGTTTGTACTTCAGCTGTGTCTGGTAACCTGAAAGGGAGAATGAAGTTGTGTTTTACTGCAATAAAGTCCAGCTGTAGACGTCAGCCAGGAAAAAAGAATTTTCAGCCCTGTCTACACACAAACATTCTGCTTGAATTATACCAGTAGTGTTAAAATGCTGCAAATACCGCACTGTGGATATAGTTACGATAGTATAAAAATGCTAATACCAGTACAGCTTGTTCCCAGATCGGAACGGGGTAGAATTGCATCCACACTACGGGTTGTACTGATTAAATTATTTTGGTAAAATATTACCTCCTAACTGAAATAGTTACACTGGAACAAAGCTGGGTTTAGATCAAGTCTGAGACCCAGAAGCAGGTCCGATGTAGAGTACACAAGCCAGGCAGGCCTCCCATTCCTAAAAATAGCCTCAGTCTCTCAGCAGAGAGGCCTTGGTCTTCTATTAGGTGTTAAATGAAAGTACAGGGAACAGGGTTATGATGTGCATCTACAAGCCACCAGGTTCAAGGATCCCTTTGCAGCACCTAAAATAAATGGGAAGACTGTCTCTGAAAGATTGCTGAACCTCATTAAAAACAGGGTGGAGCAGAAATGGAGAATGAGGAATAATCAAAGGTGTGACCCAAAGTGGGGCTGTTCTGAAAAGTGACTATGTGCAAAGGGCCCCTGGTCACTCAGCAGCTCTGCCCTGCATGTGTTCAGAGTCATGGCTACTGGCTTTACTGGCAAAGGTCATGTCCACATTAGGAATAAAGGACATTACCAACATTGCTAGCTAACACGTGTTTAAATCCTAACACAGACAAGGTACATGTAGTTTCACACATTAGCTGGTCAAGTTAACCTTAGCGAGGAGCCTAGAGTTTACCTTGATCAACATGTATTAAAACTACAAGTCAGCTAAATGTGTTACAAATAGACAAATCTCCACTAGTGAAAACAAGGCTTAAATCCACGTGTCATAAACATACAGCAAAGGGCAGCATAAAATCCCTCCTTTACCTGTAAAGGGTTAAGAAGCTCAGCTAACCTGGTTGGCACCTGATCAAAAGGACCATTAAGGGGAGAAGATACTTTCAGTTCTAAGGGGGAAGGTTTTTGTTTTGGGCTTTTGTTGTTCTCTCCGGAGACAAAGAGAGAGATCAAGCAAGTAATCCAGCTCCTACTGAACAATACTTCCAAAATTACAGAAACTGTAAGTAATAGCAAGGAAATGCGTTAGAGTATCTTTTGTTTTAGCTTGTGAATTTTCCCTATGCTAAGAGGAAGGTTTCTTCCTGTTTTTTAGAACTTAAAAGTTTTGCCTAGAGGGGAATCCTCTGTGTTTTAAATCTTATTACCCTGTAAAATTATTTTCCATCCTGATTTTACAGAGGCATTTCTTTTACTTTTTCTCCTTATAATAAAAGTTCTGTTTTTAAGAATCTGTCCTAAAAACCCAAGGATCTGGTCTGTGCTCGCCTTGTTTATGCTCAAGCCTTCCCAGGAAAGGGAGTGAAGGGACTTGGGGGGACATTTTGGGGAAACAGGAACTCCAAGTGGTCCTTTTCCTAAATCTTTTTCTAACTCACTTGGTGGTGGCAGTGATACCGATCCAAGGACGGGAAGAATTTGTGCCTTGGGGAAGTTTTTAACCTAAGCTGGTAGAGATAAGCTTAGGGGGTCTTTCATGCAGGTCCCCACATCTGTACCCTAGAGTTCAGAGTGGGGAGGGAACCCTGACACCAGGTTTTTCTCCATTTACTGCTGCCAGAGCTGCAGAACCAACCCAGCTCTTCTTCTCTGCCTTGCACGTCATCAGCAGAAATGCACCCAGTGCACCCTGTGCAGTTCACCCAGTGCAGTGCAGCACCCAGGCTGTGTCATTCAGTCATTCATCCACTTGGACCCATCTTCTCCCATCGAGCACTTCCAGAGAGTAGAGTTCTCTACATTCCTAGATGTCACCCTAGATCTAAGCATGCTACTGTGCTATGGCACCCCCTGTTGGGAAGTGATCTATTGTAACACCAACCATTAAAGGAGTAACTCCTCAGCGTAGCTCCTGGGAAAGGGAACCGCTTTCCTCTGGTGCGGGGGGGGGGGTGTCAGAGGCCCTGGTTCAAAGGTGTGTGTGTGATGAGGGGTCAGCTGTGACAGTGCTGCCAATACACTGGTGGCTAGGAAAGGCTTATAGGCCACCTGGGAAGCCGAGTCTGGTTTGCTGGGGTAAGAGTGAATTACCACTGGGCTACACACTGGGGAGCAATGGGATGACAGGGCTGAGAAGGTTCAAGTGGGCTCCGCCCGAGAGACAGGTGGTCCCCTCAGTCCATCCATCCTTCCCAGTGGAAGCATTATCTGAGCAAGGCGGACACAAAAAGCTCCCAGCACGACCTTGGAAGGGAGTAAGTGAAGAAATAAAAACCCCGTCCCTCCTCACCGCTGACTAAGTATCCGACAGCCTTGGATTTGGTCTCCTCGCTCAGCTGCCCCGTCTTATTCAGATAGTCCAGGACGTAGATGTTGGGGGCAAACAGGACCATGTTCTGCTCCCCGCAGCCGAAGGGCATCTGGAGAAGCTGCTGCAGGTTCTGCATGGCTGTGCCGAGGATATCGCCTGGGGATGGAGACGCAGGGAGTCAGTGTGGCCCAGCCGCCTGCCTGCGGAGGCAGAGTGCACCGCAGAGCAAGGATGCCAATGTGAGACATCCGTAACAGGCTTGTGAGATCACAGGCAATAGGAGGGAAAGAGAGACACACACACAACCCAGAGAAAGGAGGAGACAGAGAAATATGCTCTGAGAGAGAAGGGACACATGAAAGGCAAAGTGAAGGGCGTGCTGCTGGAAGGACAGATGGGAGCACTAGGCTGGATGAATAGCTAGAGACGTGGGCCCAGAGGCAGAGGTGGGGGGAAGGAGAGAGAAAAAGGGGTGAAGTGCTAGCAAGAGACTACAGCAGTGGGCAGCTGGGGGATAAGTGGAGGGGCTGTGATGGGTACACAAAGGGGTGAGGAGTGGAACGGGTAGAGAGACCAGAACCGTCAGGAAGGGGGAGAGAATGGCAGCAGCACCCCCAGCTGGGCTCCTCGGACTGCCTCACTTACCCAGCACTGAGAAATAGGCTCTGGCCGAGCCCTGCACCACGTTCTCTGGGAGCTTCAGGGGCATTAGCTGCGGCACTGTTTTTCCTGGGGAAAAGTGACATAGATGGGCTTGTAGTAAAATCCCCCCCTGTGGAGCAGTGAGCAGACCCCAGCACAGGAGCTAGGATACTGCCCCTGCTGCTGTCTTTCCCCTGGCACTGCACAGGGGCTCCCTGCCTTTAGCAGCTCCATTCCTCCATAGCTTTATAGTGAACCCATCTCCAACTCCCCTCTCAGGAGTGGATCCCCTCTCCTGCCACCCCAGCCCTCCACATGGAGCGAGGTGTCACCAGCTGGCGAGACACGGGAACTGTAGTCTCCAGCTCTTTCTCTGGCACCTTCCAGTTTGTAATTTCACTCCATGGAATCACAGAGTGAGAGAAGGGGAAAGCCCCATTAAATCCCATCTAGCCCATCCTCCCAGCACCCGGGTCAGGAACGTTCCCTAAGACCTACGCTTCCAGCCCTTCCCTTGGGCGCCATTCTAGACCTTCAGTGTTAGGAAATGTTTCCTCGTTATCCAGCTGGAGGTGTCCCACTTTCTTCAGTCCCATATTACTGCTTCTCGTTATCTCTTCCCCTCGGACACCCGAGGTTTCCACCCTTCCCTTTGCAGAGGCAAGTCAGGAGGGGTGGGGCTCTTACCAGCTGCACAGAGCAGGAAGTTGTAGGTCGTTTCCTTCTCAAGCCCTTCAGGCTTTGGGTTGGGGAGGAAAAGGGAAGGGGAAGGAAAATGAGAAAGGTGAGAACCTGCAGAGACATTGAGCACCCGGTGGCAGAAACATCTGGGCAGGGGTGATGGGGAGAGATGGGGAGAGGGGAAAATGCTGGGGAGAAGAAAGAAAGAAAGAAAGAAAGAAAGAAAGAAAGAAAGAAAGAAAAGGAAGTGAATCAGAGAAAGAGGGAGACTTGCAAATTCTCATGTAATAATAATTCTCATAAAGCCAGCAGATAATAGTTGGAAATCAGCTACTAAGAAGTTATTGCCTCCTCACTCCCAAGGGGAGGATATTGCAGTGATCTACCATGGGTGATTAGTTGCTGTTAGCACACTGTAAAACATGGGCTTTGCTTGTGTTACAGAGAGAACTTCCAGCTTTACACCAGGTGCTGGTGCTGATAATATGCTGTGATGCTAATGAAGTGTTGTAGGGGCTGAATCCTGCCAAGTGTTTAACTTTAAGCCTGTTTGAGATCAATGGGACAACTCATGTGCCTAAAGTAAAGCAAGCTTTGCAGAGTCAGGGCCAAAGCGCTCAGTGCCCTGAAATGACATATTGTAATGACTGCAGGACCACCTAGAAATTCACCATTACACACTGTGGCCGATTAGTTCTGTAGGGCTACAGTAGGGATAGAACTCAGCTCCTCTTGCTCCAAAGGCCCAGACCCCCATGGCTTGAGCGAAGGAAGAAGCCCTGTTATTTATTGAGATGATCAGAACAGTTTTGACTAAAACTCACGAACTAAATGTTGTGAAAAAAGAGGGTTTAGTCAAATAAATTTTTGTTTTTGAAACACACCCCTCCCCCGCAATATTTTAGTCTTAGAATAGTCGGTTTTCCTCCTTTTTCCAACTTTTGCCAGGTAGTGAATAGTAGCCAAGTGTGAAAAGTGGGCTTTCCCCCTCGTTCTTCACCCACTTAGCATCCAGGTCCATCCCCGCAGCCCTGGCTCTGCTCCAGCCCTAGCGCTAGCCCAACCCAGACCTAGAGGACACTGCGCGCCGGGTGCATTGCGCATCGCCCCGGCCGGCTGGAGGGAGAGGCACAGCAGTGGCAGAGCGGTGGAATGCCAGATGCATGTGCCCTGTACGCACGCAGCAGTAGGAGGAGGGCGGGCGGGGTGGCTTCGGGGTGGCAGTGGCAGAGGAGATCCCCAGAAAAGGTCAGCCTGCCGTGCCATCTCGAGGAACTGGGCCCGGCATAGGGCCGTGGGAAGGGATGGGTGCTGGGAGCTGTGTGCAGTGGAGAGCGGCATCTCCTTCCAGAGCTGTGGGCACACGTGAGACCCCTGGGGGCCCCTAGCCAGAGCATCCGTCGCCCCCCGCAAGGCCAGCCGGAGGAGATGGGACCCTGATTCCTCCTGCTCCCCCTCTCCCTCATCATTGCTCACACACACAAAGTCGGGGCCCACCCAAATGTCCCATGTTAGCTACACCACTGCTGTGCCAATGCTTAACTACCCTTATAGTTAGAAAGTTTTCCCTAATATCCCACCTAAATCTCCCTTTCAGCAATCTAAGCCAATTACTTCTTGTCCTTGGTGGATATGGAGAACAATTGATCACCGTTCTCTTTATAACACATATTATTCCTGGGGGAATTCTGCACCAAAACTTTAAAAATTCTGCATACAATATATTAAAATTCTACATATTTTATGTGTCAAAATTACGCAATTTAATCATACCCGTTTCAATTATTTTGGTAATTTATTTCAACTACAATACAATGGATGGAGAATAGAAGTAGGGATCATTGGAGAAAATCCCCAAACCTCTTTGTCTAATAGTAATGTAGCTAGGCTTGACCCTTTATTTCTAGTTATTAGTCAACATATAACAATGTTATATGCAGCCATATGTTCATATTACATCACAGGCAACTGAAGAGCAAGTGAGGGCTGGGGAATCAAACTCATAGTTTATATTGGCTACTGACCATCTCCAGAAAGGTCAGAAGTAAACAGTTAATGATGTACATTTTGATAGGAAAATGTTTCAGTCCAAAAATTTAGACCAGTTCTAATCACTCAAGCACCATAAGTATTTATAAGGCCATACTGTCATTTACAAATGGGCTCCTTTACACCACTCTGGCAATGTGAAGGAGCCTTAAAACTTTTACACCTGCTTTATGCTCCTGGGGGAATTCACTAAGAATGGGAACAAATAAGCAGGCAGGTTGTTACATTATGCTCTGCCTCAGGGGTCAGCCTGCCTCACACCTTCCTCCAAACACCCCAAAGCCCTGCCCCTCCATGCTGGGCCTGTCGCAATAGCAAGCCAGAGGGACCGAATCTCTCTCATTCGTTCGCTTGCTTTCTCACCTGCCTGGGCAGTCCTTCCCACCCCCTATCGTGCTGATTTACATCTCCTCCGGCTGCTCCAGGCTGCCAGGGATGGGGGAGTGACTGCACTTCCCTTTGCTTCCCCTCAGAAGTCATTTTTCTGTGGGGAACCAAAGAAAACTGCAGACAACATGGTGCAGAATTCCCCCAAGAGTAACATATTTGAAGATTTTTATCTTGTTCCCCCTCAGCCTTCTCTAGACTAAACAGGCCAAATTCTTTCAACCTTTCCATACAGATCAGGTTTTGTAAACCTCTTATAATTTTTGTTGCTGTCCTCACTCCAATTTGTTCATGTTTTTCCTAAAGCGTGGCACCCAGAACTGCCACAGGACTCATTCTTACCTTGAAGCTTACAGAGTTGTTTTTTCTGGGTTGATACAATAATGTGAATCGTACCTTTGCCTTACTGAAAAAGCGGGATGCATTTCTGTAACTCAGAGAGGAGCTGCAGTGTTAGATCACGTGTTACTGCTTACATCAAACAATTTAAAAATGATTAGTGCTTTCCTATAATGGAGAGAGGAGTGGCCACCTTCTATCATGTGATATTGCTCTGATCAGACTATGTAACAAATTATCACTACTTCCCTATTACACAGAATAGCTATGGAGGTTTATATTATGAGATATTGTTTAGGCTGGCTGGGTGTCATGTCAAAAAAAAAAATATGGGAAAAGCCAGGGGTTCCTCATCACAAAATATGTAAGAGACACAAATTTATAGAAAAATATGCAAAGAAATCATTGGCTCACATTACCTTGAGCATTTTTTAATTTTTTGCAACCAAATGATTTAAAATAAATAATGATAATTCACTAATCATTCACAAATGTTTTAAAATGCAGTCACTTTCCCATATTCCACTACACTGGTCACAACAGCACAAGATTTGTTACAGTTCCTGGAACTGTCCTGTTTGGGAATGGGCCGGCAAGGTTTACAAGTAGATCTGGGAGAACTTTTTTGGAAAAGCTTGTTTTTCGCAGTAAAATGAGGATTCGGATTGACAAAAACCTTTTTCACATTTGTGCTAAATTCACCAAATTGTTTTAGTTAAAAAAATCAAAACATCTTGTCTGGACATTTTCTAAACCAAATATTTAGATTTTTCAATTCAATATTACTTTTTAAAAATTTTAGTTTAATTTTATGTTGAAAAAAAGTAAAACAAGTTCAAAAAACAACAATATGATTCATGTCAGGTCATTATCAAACTTTTTGTTGGACTTAAAACTACATTTTTTGTCAGTTTGGGTTCATCAAAAAACCCTGAAACATTTGGGTTGGCCCAAAACGATTCTTTTTTTGATTTTTCAGTTGGCCAGCAAACCAAAAAATCAGTTATTCGCACAGCTCAATTTACAAGGACCACGGTCCACATTCACAGCTGGTGTAAATCCGCAGAGCTGCATTGAATTGAATGGAGCTATGCCAATCTACACTGCTGAGGGCTTGATCCCATGACTCGTTATAGACAAAACCGAAAAGTCATGGTTTCTGTCCCAAAAGACATGGCTGTGGCAAACCTATAACCTTTACTCATTATTTCAATCACACGGTGCAACAAGGTACCAGTATTTTCCTGTAAGAAGTGATGCAGTATTACAGTTTATATTGGCCAATGTAGTGACTTATCACTGCTTCCCTTTACAGCATTAGACAATGTGTGATCATATGAAGTCATTAAGGCTTCCCTGTAAAACCAAGAAGACCTGCAGCATTATATCAGTTGTCACTACACAGCAGTAAGTTATCATGGCTTCTCTATTCCACAGGGACTAAACAGCCCACCTACCTCCACTAACAGCTGTTTGATCACCGTGTCCCTCCGCCCTTTGTCCAGGGACTCCACTACCTCGTTCCCGCAGGGCAGATCTGTCTTCAGGGCCTCAGCGCTCACTGAGAAATTCACAGTACCTGGAACAAAGAAGGATAAGTGTTCTGCCAGGCACTGCAGCTACAGGGGTGTCAGAGTCATTCACTTGGCGTTGTGCTTTGCAGCACCACGGATTACATGGAAACCTCTCTAAAGAGGGCAGAGCTCAAGTCACATGTAGTTAGCACTATAGCACAGCTCTGCAGAAGCCTTAGTTCCAACCCCTCGGCTCCAACAGCTACACTGAATGGGGCTGGGCAAGATGGAGAGGAGGGGAGTGCAGGGGCAGGCCTTCAGATTCTCACACTCAGACCCCTGCATGGTGTCAGAGCCATCACCTTTCTTTTCCAGAAATTTCAGACCCAACCAGTCTGTCAGTCCAGGTATTTATATGGCCCTCATCACAGTCGTGTACTGCACCTCCCATACATGGATAATGTATTATTCCAATTTTACAGATGGGGAAACTGAGGCACCAGGACATTGACTTTCCCAAGCGCTGGACACTGAGTCTAGGTCTCCTGAGTCCAGTCCAGTGCCTCAGCCATAAGGCCAGCCTTCCTCCTTTCACAGCAGATCAGTCCCTTCCAGAGAGGTTGGAAACGCCAGAAATCTTATCCAGAAATTTCGGTGCCATTTGGTCCCTTTCAAAGAGGTTTTGGACCCATCCATTAGTCCCTGATCCTGAGATTTTGAAGTTTCCAGGTCCCTTACCCAGAGATTTTGGGGTCACAGTCCAAGACACTGTTTTCCGCCCGTTCACACAGAGACAATAAGATTCTTCTTCCTTCTCCACAGGGGTAGCCCGGAAGTCATTAGATGAAACCAGTGAGATGCTGACCTGTCCATTGTACAGAAAGGTGCCATCAGGCAGGGAGAGAGAAGGGTTCAAGGGGGTTGTGGGTAAATGGAGATGAGACAAGGCAGGGGAGGAGAGGGGGCAGGGAGTTTGGGGGCCACAGGGATTTGGTGGGGCAGGGATTGAGGTGGGGAAAGCTGAGGGGTACCGTGGTTTGGGGAGGTGCAGGAGACTGAGGAGGGGCAGAGAATTGGGCGCATGGCTCTGAAGAAACAGGAGATTGCAGGGCCTGAGGGACTCAGGACCAGTTGTGGGAATAAAGACAAAATGGTGACCTCAAATTTACCACCTTGGCATGAGTCTGAGACCCCTCTGATGTCTTGTTAGGGGAGGAGGTGAAGTGCTGGCTGTGGGGGGCGGGGGGCTATCTGGGAGTAGCTGAGAGAGAACAGAATTGGGGACCATCAGTGAGCGTAGCAAAGGGCAGGAAAGGGATGGAGAAGAGGATGAGAGTGCCTTGGGGGCTCTTAACACCATAGAGCTTGTTCCCGCTTCACTTTATCTAGAATGAAACCCATTTAAATAAAAGCTGAGAGAAAAGTCACCACAATTTTGCAGGGACCCCCTTCCTGAGTCCCCTCCAGTCCCTTGTGCTGGAGCAGGAATACACTGCAGGCCAGTGGGGCTAGAGAGTCAGTGCCGTTTCCATGGATGCAACAGGCCAGTGAGTTTCCCAGCAGCCGTAGTGCAGCTGGGGGGCTTGTGTGGCATGAGGCCAAAGGCCAAGCACATAATGGATGGTGTCCATTCCAGGAAGCCGGGAGTCTCTGCTAGAGTAAGGGGTGATGCACAGTGTGTGGTCACCCCAGGTACCTTGCTTGCCATGGGGTCATGAGATAGGCACAGGAGGTCTAAGGCCAGGTGCCTTCAGCCACACAGGAAGTTGGTCTCAGGTATATCTGCAGCTCGCAAACCTTTGTCAGCCAAACAGATTCCTTCTTTCCTAATGCCCACTCTGTACCCCAGTAGTAACACACACCTAGGAGCCAATCAGATTCCTCCTTTCCATCACCCATTTCTTACCACTGTAATAAGACAATTTGCTAGAGGCCAATCAGCTGCCTCCCCTGGATGGGAAACCATGTTGCAACTGGCCCATGTGGTCTCCTCCCTGCCCCCTGCTGAGGAAAGCTGCAAATGTCCCTTACTCTGATGCAGCGGGTCAGGTAGTTGAAGACAGTGGCCTTTAGCGTGAAGGCCTCGCCGCGCACCACAGAGTAGGGCAGGGTGAGCTCCACGAAGAAGGGCTGGAAGGCTCTGAGGGACACGGTCGGGGACAGGCCAAAGCCAGTATCTCTTGAAGTGCAGAACGCATTGGCTTTCCATTCTGTGATGGTGTCGGGGATGGTCACAGCCAAATCAGCACTTCCGTCAGACCTGGTGACCAAACGAGAACAAGGAGATGGGGGAAGCTTTCCTAGCTTTGGGGGAAACAACCATGTCCCGCACAGCATCCTGAATTAACCCCCTCCCCCATTTGTAACTGCAGGGTCCTTTGGGAGTACTGGGGTGTGCATGCGGGTTGGTTATTGTAGGCTCACTGCAGAGCACTTCCTCCCATCCCATCCTACATCCAGCTCTGCAGAAGAATCATCCAGGTAACAAGACAAGGGGTGGGGTTCCACGGTGAACAGAAAATCCCTCAGACACACGGCTATAGAAAAGGATGAGATGCATAGCTAATAGTGACTTCTGCACTAGAGCTGGGACCAAAAAGAAATTACACCTCCTTCCGACACACACACACACACACTTAACAGGGGATTGTTAATTGAGATCCACACAATTGTCTTCCAGTTACTGAGAGGAGAAGGAGTGGCTGTGGTGTATTAGTAGAACTAGTTAACTTACTTCCTGCCTTTCCTCTACCTGCCTATCCATCCCTCATGCTTGTGTCTCTCTAGTCTATCTACAACAGGTACTCCATCTTTCACAGAAGGATATAAGCACATCTCATGGTGTCTGAGCAATTTCTTCTGAGTGTCTGTGTAACCCAGTTGACTGCATTCACCACATCCCATAAACATCACTTACCTCACTGGAACTAATTCCCAAATCCACGTCTCAGGGAAATACTTCCGGATGGTCTCCACTGGGCCATGAGTGACATCTTCCACCATGTCATCAACTGCGAGATCTTCATCATATGAGAGCCTCGCTTTAGATGTTGGAGAAGATAAGGGAGAGAAACGTGATATGTTAGACCTCATTCCTTATCATGGCACTTTGTTTCCAGTTCGTGACAGATTGGATTCTAAACGCTAGATTTGAAACCCCCTCTTTTCAAATTCAGACCCAACTTAAACCTATCTCTGCTTGCAACCAATCACTCCTTTCCCCACCCCACTCTCCCAATATCATCAACTGTCTTTTCTGAATTTCTTTAGAAGCCATTGAAAAAACATCTCTAGAGCCCTATTATGAACTCAGCACCATCTGTTTTCTAAAGACTTCTGCACTTCTTATAAGGGTGGTATGGATGGATGAACATCTTTATTCCACCTCCACCAATCATGGCGTAGATGGGAAGCCCAGACACAATAACTGTTTTGAAGCAGCCCTCCAAGCCCTGCCTATATCCACTTCAAATGGAGTTAACCTGTGGAACTCACTGCCCCAAGCTGTTATAAATGCAAATAGTTCAGTGAGTTTCACAGAAAAAAATCTTGTGTCTGTATGTGACTAAGAGTAGCAGCAACACTAGTGACACCAGCTCGGATTCAGATGATCCGGGATAGCAGTGCTCATGCTTCAGCTGATATCCAGCCATAGATCATGAAGAAATTTGCCCCACAGCACAGTGAGGTGTACTACAGAGGTGTTCCACCTTCCTCTGAAGCAGCCACCACTGGCCATTGTCTGAAGAGGGACTCTGCGCTAGAAAGATGACAGTGCTGATCCAATATAGTCAGGAGGCAGGACACTGCCATATATAGACCAGTAGTCTGATGTTCTACAGTAGGAATGGGGACATTGGATTAGAGGGTCAGTGATCTGATCTGGTTACTCTTCATTTCCACTGGAGTAACTGAGAGCATAATTAACACTAATATTTAGACATCTAATCTCAAGAGCTCTTCACAAGGCCGTGTAAGTATCATTAGTCCCCTTTTACAGATAGGAATATTAAGGCACAAAGAAGTGACATGGTTCACCCAAACTCACATAACCAAGGCAATGGCAGAGATGGGAATGAAATTCAGATTTCCTGACTCCCAATTCTAAACCCTCTCCACAAGTTCACACGGGGTATGCCTACATTGCAGTGTAAGCCCAGTGTTACGAGAACTTGAATTAGCAGATCCTGGGTTTGTTAATCGAAGGTTTGAGTGTCTACACTCACTTGTAACCCCAGTTTAGGATTTGTTGAACCCTGGATCCCAGCTTGGGGTTCCAGCAAATAAGCATCTACACTGCATTATGTGGACCCATGTCCAACCACCTCTATCCCAGACTTCCTAGCGCTCTCCAAAAATGTGACCACACTAGCCCTTTGTTCATGGAGCACTGTGGGAAAACTTGACTGTTCACCAAACTTCACTGTCCCACGGACAAAGAAAGTCGACCTATGGGATGCTTTTGGCAGACCCCCAGAGCAACAGTCCAGTGGGGCTATATCTCCACTGCAAAGCAATAGGGTTTGAACCCTGGGTCCTGGCTTGACTCAGGCTCCTCCTTGCATCCCTGTGGGGTCCTGGGACCCTATGTCCAAGCCAGGAGTTTGCACGATTTGTGCATAGATAGATGAGAGTTTAGGCTACAGCCTGAGTTAAAACCTTGGGCACACATTGCAGTGTGAACATACCCACTGCCTCCCCTTTGAACTTGGCCCCCTCTCTGCTTAGTTTTTCTTCTGGTGCTTGCTATAAAATAGAAATGTGGAAGTGGAAATCGTCCTGTTCCATAAATTCAACAAGATTTAGCAGCCAGTTTGTGCCAGTGCAGCACATCTACATTGGGGGGGGGGGTGCAAGGTGCCACTGCATCAGTGTAGTTACAACAGTGCACATTTCCTTAGCTGGTGAGCAAGCAGGTGGAAATGGACCAGATTCCTATTTCAGGCCTGACTTTCTTGGATTTTGGCCAGCATAGCTGAGAACAGAGTCTGGTCCTACTGGCCTAGTTTCCATGCAGAGGAGAGGGTGAAAGGGAGGGGAGCAGGAAAAGCACCTAACAGGGGGGTATCAGCAGGGCAAAACAAAGCAGGCTCTTTTCCCGCCATTACCATATTCCACAGATACACCGGTCATTCTCTTCATGCAGAGTTTGGGCTTATGGACCTTGGTGCTGGTGAAGACTTTTAAACCCATCTCCTGTAAAAAGATAACCCAGACAGGCATGTGGTAAAGTAAACCATACGTCGGGAGATAAACGTGCCGTCTGGACTGGATCGGGATGTGACGGGCTTATCACAGTGCAGGGATGGGTCACTGCAAGAGCAGATACTAAGGCCTGAGGGGTCAATGCCTGTGTGGCTGGTGGGAAGCCAAGGGCAAGGTCTATGCCAGTGAAAGGCGCCGGACCAGCGGCTGGAGACGGACGTCCTGTGTGTCCTCAGAGCAGGTTCATCAGAGGCATCAGCCATGCAAGCTGATATCTTTTATTTTCCTGATATCTTTTATTTTCCTGATATCTGCTGGGAGAGCAATACAGCGGTGCATAGACAATCCAGGAAGTTTTTGGAAAGCGTAGGGGACAATTTCCTGGCGCAAGTGCTAGAGGAGCCAACTAGGGGGGGCGCTTTTCTTGACCTGCTGCTCACAAACCGGGTAGAATTAGTGGGGGAAGCAAAAGTGGATGGGAATCTGGGAGGCAGTGACCATGAGTTGGTTGAGTTCAGGATCCTGACGCAGGGAAGAAAGGTAAGCAGCAGGATACGGACCCTGGACTTCAGGAAAGCAGACTTCGACTCCCTCAGGGAACGGATGGCCAGGATCCCCTGGGGGACTAACTTGAAGGGGAAAGGAGTCCAGGAGAGCTGGCTGTATTTCAAGGAATCCCTGTTGAGGTTACAGGGACAAACCATCCCGATGAGTCGAAAGAATAGTAAATATGGCAGGCGACCAGCTTGGCTTAATGGTGAAATCTTAGCGGATCTTAAACATAAAAAAGAAGCTTACAAGAAGTGGAAGGTTGGACATATGACCAGGGAAGAGTATAAAAATATTGCTCGGGCATGCAGGAGTGAAATCAGGAGGGCCAAATCGCACCTGGAGCTGCAGCTAGCCAGAGATGTCAAGAGTAACAAGAAGGGTTTCTTCAGGTATGTTGGCAACAAGAAGAAAGCCAAGGAATGTGTGGGCCCCTTACTGAATGAGGGAGGCAACCTAGTGACAGAGGATGTGGAGAAAGCTAATGTACTCAATGCTTTTTTTGCCTCTGTTTTCACTAACAAGGTCAGCTCCCAGACTGCTGCGCTGGGCATCACAAAATGGGGAAGAGATGGCCAGCCCTCTGTGGAGATAGAGGTGGTTAGGGACTATTTAGAAAGGCTGGACGTGCACAAGTCCATGGGGCCGGACGAGTTGCATCCGAGAGTGCTGAAGGAGTTGGCGGCTGTGATTGCAGAGCCATTGGCCATTATCTTTGAAAACTCGTGGCGAACCGGGGAAGTCCCGGATGACTGGAAAAAGGCTAATGTAGTGCCAATCTTTAAAAAAGGGAAGAAGGAGGATCCTGGGAACTACAGGCCAGTCAGCCTCACTTCAGTCCCTGGAAAAATCATGGAGCAGGTCCTCAAAGAATCAATCCTGAAGCACTTGCATGAGAGGAAAGTGATCAGGAACAGCCAGCATGGATTCACCAAGGGAAGGTCATGCCTGACTAATCTAATCGCCTTTTATGATGAGATTACTGGTTCTGTGGATGAAGGGAAAGCAGTGGATGTATTGTTTCTTGACTTTAGCAAAGCTTTTGACACGGTCTCCCACAGTATTCTTGTCAGCAAGTTAAGGAAGTATGGGCTGGATGAATGCACTACAAGGTGGGTAGAAAGCTGGCTAGATTGTCGGGCTCAACGGGTAGTGATCAATGGCTCCATATCTAGTTGGCAGCCGGTATCAAGTGGAGTACCCCAAGGGTCGGTCCTGGGGCCGGTTTTGTTCAATATCTTCATAAATGATCTGGAGGATGGTGTGGATTGCACTCTCAGCAAATTTGCGGATGATACTAAACTGGGAGGAGTGGTAGATACGCTGGAGGGGAGGGATAGGATACAGAAAGACCTAGACAAATTGGAGGATTGGGCCAAAAGAAATCTGATGAGGTTCAATAAGGATAAGTGCAGGGTCCTGCACTTAGGACGGAAGAACCCAATGCACAGCTACAGACTAGGGACCGAATGGTTAGGCAGCAGTTCTGCGGAAAAGGACCTAGGGGTGACAGTGGACGAGAAGCTGGATATGAGTCAGCAGTGTGCCCTTGTTGCCAAGAAGGCCAATGGCATTTTGGGGTGTATAAGTAGGGGCATAGCGAGCAGATCGAGGGACGTGATCGTTCCCCTCTATTCGACATTGGTGAGGCCTCATCTGGAGTACTGTGTCCAGTTTTGGGCCCCACACTTCAAGAAGGATGTGGATAAATTGGAGAGAGTCCAGCGAAGGGCAACAAAAATGATTAGGGGACTGGAACACATGAGTTATGAGGAGAGGCTGAGAGAGCTGGGATTGTTTAGCCTGCAGAAGAGAAGAATGAGGGGGGATTTGATAGCTGCTTTCAACTACCTGAAAGGGGGTTCCAAAGAGGATGGCTCTAGGCTGTTCTCAATGGTAGCAGATGACAGAACGAGGAGTAATGGTCTCAAGTTGCAGTGGGGGAGGTTTAGATTGGATATTAGGAAAAAGTGTTTCACTAGGAGGGTGGTGAAACACTGGAATGCGTTACCTAGGGAGGTGGTAGACTCTCCTTCCTCAGAGGTTTTTAAAGTCAGGCTTGACAAAGCCCTGGCTGGGATGATTTAACTGGGAATTGATCCTGCTTTGAGCAGGGGGTTGGACTAGATGACCTTCTGGGGTCCCTTCCAACCCTGATATTCTATGATTCTATTCTATGATTCTAAGCTTCCGCCACGCACTCAGCCCCTGCCGGCTTGCCTCAGCCCTGCCCTGGAGGGAGATCAGCCTCTCTGGCCCAGTCCATCCCCTGCCTCTCTGCTGAGATGCCTAACAAGTCATTGTCAGATGTGCTGGGGATCGGATGATTTGGGAGTGAGTCCCACCGGCAACAAACCTGAGATCCCGCAAGACACCAAACCTTCACCAGCTGGGGCTCGGTAATTACCCTGGGTGCTGGCTCAGAGCAGCTCTCTGCACATGTGTGTATGTGCGTGTGTGTGTGGATAAAATGGGGACTGGCACTTCACAGAGACCTACATAGATGGGAGAGAGAGCGTGTGGGACAGGATCTCTTTGACAAAATGGCTGCAGAGGCTGAGTCGCTCATTTCTAGGCTCTATTTCTTTGCCCCAGCTATTAGGACGTCTCCTTGTCATGTTTAAATTAGTGATGGGAAACCTCTAGAGTTCAGTGGTTGAGAGAGGCATTCAGTCCTCAATGCTGGGGGATTCCCATCTGGGGTTTTCTGGGCCAGGTTTAATTATTACCTTGAATGAGCTAGCTAACAAGCACCCAACTAAGTGTGCTCAGACAGCACCTATGGGATATGACAGGAGTTTGCTCCGCCAAGAACACGGTGGGGAAATCTTCTGAACTAACAGCGATTTCACACACTAAAGGAGGACGTGGGCCTCACCTTGAGAACGTTGTAGGCATCCCCTTCACCGTCAGGAGAAATGGGTCCGTAGATGAATCCATTTAAAATGACGTTCTCGAGTGTCACACAAGGGTTATCGTCTTCTTCCTCCAAATGGTGTCCCCGGTAATTATAACCCCTGATCTCCTTCACCGGGAGCAAATCATACACCTGCGGGTATGACATGTCTCGATGTCAGTGACCACAGGCCCAATAATAATAAACCAGCATGTGCCACCCTAGTGATCACAGACAACTTTAAGCTAACACATCTGTGCGTGCAATCCCAGTGACCAAGGGTGATCCTACAATAACAAAACCCTACAGTAACAGAGCAGAATGTCTGACTCCAGGGCTCAGCACTGACTTTTCAATAATCATAGGATCATAGAATATCAGGGTTGGAAGGACTCAAGGTCCCCCCCCCCCCCAAACCCCCCACCCCCCCCTAAATTAGCTTCCCCCCCCCTTTCCCCCCCCTTTTTTTTTTTCTTCTTTTTCCCCCCTCCCCCTCCCCCCCCCTTTTTTTTTTTTTTTTTTTTTTTTTTTTTTTTTTTTTTTTGGGGGGGTGGGGGGGGGGGGTAGACCCAGTGTGTGCTGACCACTGTAACGGTCTGCAGAATAAAACCAGTGTGTGGATGCTCACCAGGCGCCTCCAGTAATAAATCAGTATGTGTGGTTGTGTCCTCACAAGCGGCCCCAGAACTACAAATCACTGGGTGCAGCAACAGTTTTCATGAGCGCCCTACATAGATCAAGCAGTGGGCGCAGACCTTGTGCTGACTTGGGACCCTACAATAACAGGCAGACTGCTCTGCCCTAGCTCTCACGAGTGATTCTCTGCACTTTCCAGACAAGATCATCTCTTGTGCCCATTGATCACCAGGCCAGGTTGGCACTTACAGAGCTGGGTGAGAGCTCAGCTTCAGGCTTCATGAGGAGGACGCTCTTGTCCACAGCACGGACGGCGCACAGGGAGCCCGGGGAGGCTCCGATCTGGAGGTGAGTGTTGGAGGCGGGGAGGCCCTCAGCCAGTAAGAAATGCAAGTCGACCTGCAACCCCAGGAAAGGTGTTAGAGGAGCTACTTCAGCTCAGTCCTGGAACCACCTCACCCATCTCTGCCAATGCCCCTCAACTCTGCCCTGCACTCCTGCTATTCCAGTCCTGGGCTCCCCACACAGCTCTGCCAATGCCCATCAGTCCTGCCCTACAGCCTCCCCTGGTATTCCAGCCCTGGGCTCCCCCCACAGTTCTGCCAATGCCCCTCTGTCCTGCCCTGCAGCCCCCTGCTATTCCAATCATGGGCTCCCCACACAGCTCTGCCAATGCCCCTCAGCCCTGACCAGTGCAATTCAAACATGACCAGCAGCGCCCCCTATATGTCAGTTCTGTTTCCACCCTCCATAATTCTGCCTATGGAAATTAGTCCTGATGTGCACTCTTCTCTCATATTCAATTGCTGATCCATGGTCAGTGTCCTGATAGGTCATGGAGCCATTGAACAGTTCCTGAGTCTTCCTTGAAATTTGCCATTCCAGGTTCCACAGGTGGGCCATTGTCCATGGGGTGAATGCGAGTTATAGAAACCGGATGCTCACCTTATTGGCAAAGCAGTTTTCAATCTTGAAATCTTCGGAATTGGCGATAACTTCCCCGCTGGGTAAAGTGGTGTATACGAGTACCCGGGCCAGGGGGGCAATATCAGGCCTCACGGGGAGCCTCAGCTCAAATACTTGGATAACTGGCAAACAGAGAGGGGGGTGGCTAAGCTATAGAGAAGCAGCTCCAGGGCCACACATTTCCTTAGGCTCCCTCATGATGGCTGCAATATCAGCCACCCTGAAAAATGCGCTACCCAAGGGTTAAGAGTTTTGGCACATAGTTGAGGCTTTTGACTCTTATTGCAGACACCTGGTGTGGGATATTCAGGTGAGATGGGTTTGGTGGATCTCAGCATGTCCTCTAAGTCCATGTCAGCTAGAGTCTAGCACTGTCCTCCATCAGTGCAGGTTGCCCCTGCCCATGCAATAATGAAGGGGAGGAAAGAAGTGCGTGTTGTACAGTGGCTCTGTGCGGAGGGTTGTGCACACAGGGCTGCAGAGGGGGTGGGATTCCACACTCCTGCTCCTCAAGGTGGAGTTTGCCCAGCCAGCCTGAATCAGTCAAACTGGGAATCCCTTGAGACTGCCATTAATGAAATGAAATCGGTCAGGGGAACTGTGTGTGTGTCAAAGGGAGAGAGAGACCATGACTAGTGAGACAAGGAGGAGAGAGAGAAAGTGAAGAGGAGAGAAGGGTGCTGTTCTCGTCACCTCCTTCAGACACAGCAGGTCAGTCTCCCAGGACAGACAGAGAAAGGCGTGGGGAGAGCTCACAATGAGAATGGGCCGAAATTTTTCAGATGATTTTTTGTTGTTGAAAAATGTAGACTCGGATAAACCAAAAAACATTTCACAAATTTGTGTGAAATTCACCAAATGGTTTTGTTCAGAAAAAAAATTGGCAACAAATCAGAAAGTTTTGTTTCGACATTTCCTCAATGAATGGTTCCATTTTTCAATTCAAAACAACTCCTCATTTACAATTTCCCTTCAATTCTATTTAAAAAAGATGAAAGCAGCTCAAAAGTGAAATGGTTCAGCTGCTCCCAAACAATTGTTTTTTGAGATTTCTGGTTCGGCCAGCAAACCGCAAGGTCAGTTATTCACACAGCTCTACTCACGTTCTCCATCCCGCATGGGATGCACCTCGGTGCTTGCCCTCACAATGCCTCCCTTGGCCATCACCTGCCAGGAAGAAGAAACCCACCTGTTACAGAGGTCCTGGTGGGAGGTGCGGGATGCTCCTGGGGGAATGCTGGGGTTGGGGGGGTGTCTATACCGATGCCTTCCTGTGGGGAAGGAGCAGAAAATCCCGCAGAGCCATACAGAGCGTCCCAGACCCAGACTGGAGTTTATTGGGACCTCGACCAAGTCAGAAATTCTTTCTCCCAGCAGAAACCATCCACTTGCCTGGCCAATTCTGCATTTCCTTCACTGGCTTTTACATGTAAATGTCAAGGTCAAGTGAACCTGGCCTTGGGGCAGTTTGGTGGCCTGGGACATATATGGGTGTCTGGCCTCCAGTGCTGTGTCATGTGTACGGAAGTAGAGGTCATGAGGGCTTACCAAATAGTAAAAGACGATTTCCTTCTGCTCCCCCACGGCCTCTGGCTTCAGGATGTAGTGCACCCGGACCACCACGTTGGAGCCACAGCTTAAAGTCTGAGACATGGGCTCAATTTTGAGAAAGCTCTTACTCGGGGAGTAAAAGCGTGTTGCTCTGTGAACGACGTTACCATACACAGGGGTGACCCAGTCTGTGTCATAACAGTTCAGTTCAGATTTATGGTTTGCCTGATAAAGAAGAACATTTTTACATCAGATCAAAAAGTGAGTAACAAGTCTACTAGCATTTCAGAAGGAAAAAGTGGGTAATTTTAAAAACATGTTCTTGGCAGATTTTTCAGTGCACAGTGCATTGATCTGCATTTTCCATGCTCGTGTGGAGAGAGAAGAGATGGAGAATCAGAGGGAGAGCGACAGTGTGTGAAGGACACAGAGAACAAGGGACAGAGAGAAAGAGAGCAAGACAGAGAGGAGGAGACTGAAATTCCCAGCCAACAAACTCTTTGTTTTATCTCCCGATGGGCAGAGAGATCAATAAACCCACGGACATCTCCTCTGGAGCTCAGCCAGTGACACCTCCCATCCCCTAGCTCCCTGGATTCAGCCACTCACGGTGATGTGAATGGAGGTGTCTGTGAAGTTGACAGTGTCTATGGAAAACCAGATTCGGCCCTCTTCATTTGTTGTGTAGTTGGCTTTGTATTTGTTTCCCCCTATGGAAATCCGGATTGTTTCATTGGTGATTGGAGCATCGGTCCCGTCCACCAGCTTCACCTAAAGGAACAAATCCAATCTCCGTTGCTTATATACCAGGCAGGGAAAGCAGTCCCCACAGTCCTAATGACACTTTGCCCACATTATTCCCCTGAGGCAGCTCCAGAGGGTGTTTCCTACAGAGCTGACCACGGGGCAGGTATATGTGAACATGCTGGGTGAGTCTGAACCACCTGAGGAGGTGGCTTGTCCTCCGAGAGTGTGTGATTGGGAACATGGGAAGGACTGTGCCAGCCACACCAATGGGCCTTCTCCTCTGTATCCCGTCTCTGACAGCACCAGGGGGTCAGAGGAAGGTGCTGCAATTCCCACTAATGGCAAGGATACCACAGCATGTGTAGAGGCAGAGGGAGATGGCTCCTGTTCCCATGGTTTGTGATCGTCCCACATTTTCCCTTTTCCATTTGCACGTTCTCATTCTCCACAGACAAGCACACTCGTGTCAGGTAATTTCCTGGGCTCTCAGAGGTTCCCTACCTGCCCAGAGAAGGGGATCCCTGGTATGTAATGAGAGTCCACCTGCTCAAAGCTGATTTTGCTCATGGTGCCTGTGATCTCACTGGAGCCTGTCCCAGTTAACTCCACCCCTGCAAAGAAAACACGGCAAAGAGGGGTTTGAACTAATGCACTGACCTGCAGCTCCTCTAGATGCTCCAATGCTGCCCCCCACGTTGTCCAGCTCTGCCAGTGCCCTTCAGTGCTGGCTTGCAACACCCACTGCTATCGCAGTGCGGCCCCACAGCTCCACCAGGTCAGCATGATGCATACCTGTACCCTCTTCCGTGATCTTGCCTTGCACCTCAATTTTCATCTCATAACCCTTTCGCTTGAGCTGGAATATTTTAGTCTTCACCACATTGGAGACACAGCCTCGAACGTCCGCCTGAGCCAAAGCCCAAAGAGGAAATTACCATGGAAATCCCTGTACAATTCAGGTCTGTGTGGAACAGGAACAGAGACCCCAGTACCCAAGACATTTGCCTGCTGCTTAGTTTGCCTTAATCCCATCCTCTTACTGGCTTGATCCGGCCTGACTCCCTCTCTTCCCTTCTTCCTCAACAAACCAATCAAGGCGTCTCTGGTCCTCAGTGACTTATCCAATATGCAGCCCTCTCTGATGCATTTCACCACAAATTCTCCTAGTTACACGCCTGGTTCCCTGATTGTTCAGATCACACCCCCTAGAACTGCAACTTCCCATCAGTGTGATAAATCTCCTTGTGTCTTTTATCCACCCTTGGAATCCTCTCTCGTTCTCCATGCACAATCTTGCTCTCTTCTTCCTTCTCTCGTTCTTGCTCTCATTCTTCTCCTCCTCCTATCTCTGTCTAACCTACTTCTATTTTCTCTCTCTTACTTTCTTCTCCTTCATAGTCTCTCTCTCTCTCTCTTTATTGCTCTACCCCTATTCTCTCTACCTCCTTGCCCTGTCTCTCTCTTTCTTCTTCCTCTTGAGTTCTCTCTCTCTTCCCAGATCTTAAAGTTCCCTCTTGCTTTCTCCTCTGCTCTGCTCCCCTCCCCATCTCAATCCCATTCACAGACACAAAAACCTCTCAGGGTATTTTCTTTCCCAGTTAGAAGAAACATCCATCCAGGGGTAAATCCTGACCTGACAGATGTCAATGGGAGTTTTGCCATTGAGTTCAATGGGGCCAGGATTTCACCCGAGGGGTTTTTCTTCATAATTTATATCCCCCAGCCCTGGCCTCACCTCCTAACCAATACCTCCCTCCTGTGAGACAGAGCCCAACCCAGAACACAGAATCCCAGCTGAGGTCTAACAATCCCCTTTGACAGACACAGATCACCCTCCTCAAGACAGTCACCTCCTGCCTATGGGATGGGCCTTGGACTTACTTGTCTGGTGAATTCCTCACACACAGCCTCGGCCTCTCTTCCATAGCAGTGTGACCTGGACTGGGAGAATCTCCGGCACACACGGACATTCACCAGGCCGGGGACAGGGGTCCCATAGGTGTATCTGTAACCAGAGAGGTGTTAAAGAGACACAAGGTGCTTAGACAGGGAGACAGAGTCAGGCAGAAGAGGCCTTTTGGGGCCCTTTATACCATTACCCCTGAGGACTCTGTTGCTGGTTTCCTAATGTCTATTCTCCAGAGCTTCATCTAGTCCTGTTTTCCAATGACTCAGGTGACGGGGTTCCAGCCATTTCCCGGGGGAGATTATTCCATTACCCAGCAGGCCTCCCCATTAGGAAATGTTGCCCGATAGTCAGGCTCTTCTGCCCCTTAAATCAGTTGTGTTTCCCTTCTCCCAGCTCCCTCCCATTTGGCCACACCTTTCTGGTACGGAAGAGCCCAGACCTGCAGACAGTATTCCAGGTGCAGTCTCCTCAGAGCTGTGGGGCCCAGAGCTGAACACTGTCTTCCAGGTGGGGTCGCACTTTAAGGCTGTATACGACAACGTATACAGCCTTAAAGTGCGACCGTCAACGCTACACGACACCTCTGGAGCACTGTTTTCAGCTCCGGACACCTCTTTACCCAAAAGCCATTGACAAATTGGAGGGAGTTCAGAGAAGAGCAAGAAATACGAGCAGGGAGCTGGAGGGAGGGATTTATGAGGAGGGAAGGAAGAGTTAAATCTGGCAAGTCTGGTTACGGGATGTCTAAGAAGGGACGTAATTTCTACCTACAAGTGTCTGAAGGAGGCATCACCAAGGGGGGCCGGGATAATTTACGGAGGCACTTGGGGCTCTGATTAGGAAGGATGGAATGATGTCAAGAAAGGGGAAATTTGGGTTGAATAATGGAGAAAACCTTTCTGAGAGGGAGCTGTACGGGGCTGAGGCATCGTTTCCCGGGGCAGGGGGAGGAGCCCCATTGCTTGGGATGTTTAAAACTTGGGCTAGATGCAGACTAGACAGTAGGGAACAATCCTGCCCAGGGCCCTTGGGGATGGAGAGAAAGTGACCCAAGGGGCCTTCTCCAGCTCTGGTTTCTGGGGGTAGCAGTAGGAAGGCAACGGTGGATGAGCACAAAAAACGGTGACTCAAACCCTGAAACTCACAGACCACAGACGGCCACTTTCAGCTCCTCATCCTGGATGGTGATTTTCTTGGGCAGCTTCACAGATACCTCGTACTTGGGCAGCACTGAGGGAGAGAGACGGGCCAGACGTTGAGCAGAGCAGAGGGATCACGTGTACATCACTGTCACTACCCCATTGAGTGACAGACACAGCCTCTCCCCCTCCCCCCCGCAACGCATGGTGCCAGATCCTCAGCCTGCTATAAATCACCACAGCTCCATGCCCCTCAGTGCAGCTGAGCCAGTTTACACCAGCTGAGGATCCGGCCAGGGACTGTGGAACTGAAGAGAAAGACACCGTAACCCCTGCTCCCCTCCCCTTCGCTCCCCTTGCCCAACCCTGCCCGCCGGGCTGTCGTTGCTTCAGAGACTGTATTCCAAACTATGCAACGCAAGTGATACCTAGTGAGGGCCCGACTCCCCAGTGCACCATCATCACTCATCAGATTTAAAGGGCCACATTCACTGTGTGCTCTGGCTCTTGTGCTGCTCCGGTGAAGCAAAGCAGCCATAAGCCCGCTTACTTTGCATCCCTGCTGGAGTGGTACAAAGCAGACGGACTGCACCAGTGAATGTGACCCTGAAAGTTCAGCCATTTTAAACTTATCCCTGCATGAAAAGAGTTGGAAAAAGCAAATATTGTTTCCTGCTGGCTGAGTTCACAGACTGCATTCCCCTTCTGGCTGGGCACTTCAATGTCAAGTTTCAGCCCCAAAGTGAATTTTCTCAGGAGTTCTGAACTAACTGAATGAGGGGGTAATAATGGAAGAGAGACACTGACTGGGGGTGTGTGGAGGGGAGTGGAGAGCAAACTCCATAAAACAATGGTTCTCAAACTTTTGTACTGATGACCCCTTTCACATAGCAAGCCTCTGAGTGCGACCCCCCACTTATAAATTAAAAACCCTTTGAAATATATTTAACACCATTATAAATGCTGGAGGCAAAGTGGGGTTTGGGGTGGAGGCTGACAGCTTGCGACCCCCCATGTAATAACCTTGTAACCCCCTGAGGGGTCCCGACCCCCAAGTTTGAGAACCCCTGCAATAAGAGCTGCTGTAGGTATAAGGCTCAGGCAAAAGCCAGCTTGGCTCGGAGTGGCACACGCAGAGGCACCCCAAGCAAGGAGGTGGCAGACTGTCCAGAGCCAGGTCACACTGGAACCAGTGAGATCGGCCCAGCTGGAGCACAGGCTGGTCACAGTGCCCGCACTCCCATGCTGACTGGTGTTCGGAGCTCTGCGGGTTTGCCTACAAGAGCACTGCTTTAAAGCCCTTCAGTTGCGATGCCGTGTGGTACCTATCTTGCAGTTCCCAGCACAGACCCCAGAAGCAGTGGATTCTGGGAAGTTTCAGAATGCCCTGTCGGACAGCAGCGAGAGGCCTCGTGGAGCCACTGTTACTAAGCCGTTCAGAATGAGCTGGCTCTTAGGCTTGCTGAGAGTAAGCTCTTGGAATGCATGTAAGTGGCTGGAGCATTTCTGTGGGACAATTCACAAGTGGTCGGGGTGGGGGCTGGAGTGGTACATTTCCCTAGACTAGACAGAGCTGTACTTTCTCTCTCCTTGGGTGATTCATGGCAACCACTGTAATTAAGGTTGCAAAATGTGTTCTCTGAGAATCTACCACTCCTGCTGGCCTCATTTTCCTTTCCTCATAAACCTTCCAAAAGTTTGCCCTTTGAGGCTGATGTTTTCCAGGCTTGATCTCCAGCCAAAGTGTCTTTATTTATTTATTTTGAATGTTTGAAGATGTTCTGGGTGCCAGGGGCTGCAAGGACAAAGGTGTGAAGACCAGAGTGGGAGAAGGGGAGAAAGGAGAGGTGAGTTAAGCCAGTTTCATTGGCAGAGCACAGGGGAAGCAAACTGTGCCACTGTAATATAGCATTCACATAGTTTGTTCTGCATCCATACCATATACTGCACACAACTGGTAGGAAAGACCCTACACAAAAATAAAGCTGCATTGTACTGAGACTGGAATCACAGCCCAAATCCAGTAGGCCCAAGGGATGGGCTTTTGTATTCAGACCCAGATACGCCCAGGCTTACAGTGAACAGTGACCCTGACAGTTCAGGTGCTGAAGAGAAAGCTACACACCACTGGATGTGGGCTCAGATCCTGATCCCTTAAAGTATCCAGTGTTTTCCTGGCCCATTCCTCAGATCACTCTTCACACATCTATACCCCAGACAATCCTGAACTGGATTTTTGTGCCTGGAATGGATGAATCCCAGACAGTTGCTTCTGCTTCCAACACCCCTCGCCCCAGCACGAGTGGAACCCTTCCTTACCGTATTCCTCCACAGTAAAGGAGTGTTCTAGATTGGTCCCTGTCTCTTTTTGTACCACCACGTTGTAGGTGCCTTGAATGGGCTCGGAGGTGAGGGGGAAGGAGAGCTGGGTGAGGCCCCCATTTAACTCCACCTCTCGCCACTGGTACACGCGGTTCCTCTGCGGGTCCTAGAGGTGAGAAGAGCATAAGGTCATAAGACAGGATGACTCTTAACCTTTCATTTACAGGCAGGGTGTCTACACAGCATGAGGCTGCAGAACAGGGCAGTTGCAGTCCAATGTTTGGCAGAGATACAGGATATATACGATTATCTCCCTCTCCTATAGCTGAGGTTAGGGCACCTGGTGGCCAGCTCTGTACTTTCCCAGTAGCCTGTAAGGATTAACCAGTCAAATCCTGTGCAAACAGTGTGTAATTAAACAGCCAGATACCAGCACCGAATCTATTCCATTGTCTGCCCACCTGATCAACATGCCCACATCCATATGGAGTGGGCAAGGAGGGTGGGAGAGAGCAAGGCTAAGAGACCAATGCACAGACAGCAGGATGTGATGAGTTTCTAAAGCCTGGAAGCTTTAATGTTTATATTTGCAGTTCAAGAACTGGCAACTGGTCTGGCTGAGGATTGAAATATTCAGGTTACCTATGGGGCTGAGAAAACCCTCCCCATGCAGGTATGTGGAAGAAAATGGGCCACGGAAATACTAATCTGGACTTAAATATGTTGTTTTGGGCTGCTACTCAATGCACAATATGTATGGGGGGTGGGGAATGTGGGAAGCCAATCTGAATAAATTAGACAAGGTCCTGAGTATGGTTTTGGGCAAGTTTGAAGGCAGGTCCAGAGGCTGGATCTGAAACTTCATCTCTGTAAAAGCTGAGTATTATTAATTACAAATTGATTATTAACAGGCCAAAGCAATGGACCAAACCAGGTCTGACGTGACTAGATCCTAACCTGGTTCTGAATTCTGCAGCTCAGGCCCAACTCTAGTAGAAACCATCAAAGAGATTAAACTAAAAGCAATATATAGTTTGATGTGCTCTTTCCAGACTGCTCAGGAACATGTTTAATCTTCACACTCTTTCATTTTCTATCTGTTTTCTCCTCTGTATCTTGGCTACCATCAAAAGTCTATTTACTTCAGATAGCCCCAGGTGACTGACTGACTGGAGAGGATTTATTTCATTCCCACTTTATCCCTGAGCCAAGTAACGGGGGATGTGAAAAGAAAAGGAGTACTTGTGGCACCTTAGAGACTAAAAAATTTATTTGAGCATAAGCTTTTGTGAGCTACAGCTCACTTCATCGGATGCATGTAGTGGAAAATACAGTGGGGAGATTTTATATACACAGAGAACATGAAACAGTGGGTGTTACCATACACACTGTAACCAGAGTGATCACTTAAGGTGAGCTATTACCAGCAGGAGAGCGGGGGGGAGGGCGGAGAAGGGCGTACATTTTGCAGTGATATTTAAGGTGGACCATTTCCAGCAGTTGACAAGAACGTCTGAGGAACAGTGGGGGGTGGGGGGGATAAACATGGGGAAATAGTTTTACTTTGTGTAATGACCCATCCACTCCCAGTCTCTATTCAAGCCTAAGTTAATTGTATCCAGTTTGCAAATTAATTCCAATTCAGCAGTCTCTCCCTGGAGTCTGGTTTTGAAGTTTTTTTGTTGAAGTATTGCCACTTTTAGGTCTGTAATCGAGTGACCAGAGAGATTGAAGTGTTCTCCAACTGGTTTTTGAATGTTATAATTCTTGACGTCTGATTTGTGTCAATTTATTCTTTTACGTAGAGACTGTCCAGTTTGGCCAATGTACATGGCAGAGGGGAGTGACCTCTCATGGCTGACGGGGAGAGAGCAGGCCCTGTTTCCAAGAGACCCCACTAGGTGACACCGAAGGCAGAGTGGGTGAAAGGACCTTCAGCTGACAAGTCCCACTGCGCTGTCACAGTTATTGAGAGTTGGCCCCACACTTAAGTCAAGTCAAAAGCGGGTAGCCTAGTGTGAGGCGGATCTGGAGATGAAATGACTATGTGACTCAGAGGAGGCTGGGAAAGAAGGTTTATCATTGGGCTTGTGCTGCCTTTGCCATCTTTATGATGGATATAGACAGAAGGCCTGAAAGCTTTTTCCACATGAAAAAAAAAAAGTGTTTTTTCGCCCCCCTGCTTATTGTTTTAACTTCAGAAATAGCAGGAATGCCACGTCTGATCTCCCCTGGTTTCTCACCAGATCTCAGATGTATTTATTGTGAGCGGCCACATCTTAACTGAAGGGGTGGGAGTTGGAAACAATTATAACAATAAAAAAAATACCTAGCACTTTGCATCCATAGACCTCAACCCGCTTTACAAAGGAGGTCAGAATCATTATCCCTGTTTCACATCTGGGGAAACTGAGGTAGAGAGAAGTGAGCTTACTTCTTAAAGTCACCAGTAGAAGGGTGGGAGAGTTACCAATAGAACCCAGGTCTCCTGAGTCCCACCACAGTTGTCTATCTAGGTCACACTGTCTCAACAGAGACAGCCTTTATCCCAACAATTTTTTAATCATTGGAATTAAACAGCTGGCCACAAAAACAAAACAAACAACCCTAAATAATATTAGAGTCCTAAAGATCCCTTCCCATCTGAGGGGTTCAGTTTTCCTGCCACGGACTCGTATCATATCATCAACTCTCTAGTTCTCTTGTGCCCGCAGAGACTTCCAGGGTGGACAAGATCTGAATTTCTAATGGAAAAAGAGGCAGAAATAACAAACATAGGGCCCGTCTACATATAAAAGTTGTACTGCTTGAGCTATACTGGTGTAATGACACCAGTTCAATCCCCTAGTGTGGACACAGTTATACCAGGATAAAGGTGCCTTTGACCAGTATAGCTTATTTCTGTATGAGAAAGGGAATGAGCTATGCCAGTATAAGGCACCTCTATGTTGGTATAACCGGGCCCATGCTAGTGGCTGCACTGGTTTAACTATTTTGGTATAAAATCCCACCCCTGACTGACACAGTTAAACTGGAATGAAATCTGTGTGCAGACCAGGGCTCACTTTCACAAAAGACCCTTTTCAGGCTCCTTTAAGCAACCTAAAGAAGCAGAAAAGGTCACGGGCCCATTTTCCCCCTTTGCAGGTCACGCTCCAATGCTGCACTGCAGCTGAGGACTGAAATCTCTAGGGTGATCCAATGCTGAGATGATCCAATGATCACCCAGGGTGGGTGGGGTGAATGCAGGACTCTTATTTCCTGTTCCCACAGACTCACCCTTACTTCCTTGCTCTGAGCCCCCTAGTGGCCGCACTACCCATTCACAATGAATACCGCACTACACACCCCCTTTGCTGTGGAGCACGGGAGTCTCCCCGGCCCCGCAGCAGCCCCAGGTTTCAGCTAGCGGCCGTGAGAGTAAAAATCAACGTGCCACTTACCTTGATGAAGACCAGTGGAAACTGTGGGGAAAACAGGGAAAAGCAGAGTTAGAAATACAGGTCAGACATGCACTGAGCTCATCTACCCTGTTCAGGGGACTTCTGTGTCTCTGCATTTCCCTCTGCCCCTTGCTCTGTTACTCAATGAGAAACTCCAGCGGGGCCTTTTAATGTTTTAGAGCCTGAACTGGTCAGTTTAACACAGCTGTGAAATTAAACACTTTGTTTTGCATTTAGAGGATTCAGGATAAAAATGTCAAACCCACCCAAGTGACTTAGGAGCTGTCAAGGTTGATTCACCACTCTGGCACTTTGAGTGCAGAAGGTGAGGGCCTGCAAGGATTGCAAAAATTAATACTGGCCACTCCAGGCTGGTATTAAACTCCCAAGGTTATAGCTTCTCTGTGACCTTGGATGGGTAGATGTTGCCATGACCCAAATGCAAAAAATGCCTTTGAACCCAGGAAGGCACACTTGGGAATTCCTCCCTATCGGGGACCCTCAAGCCCTTTCACCTCCGCCCCTGTCCAGTGAAGAGCTGAGAAGGAAAACAAAGGAAATCAGTAGTTGCCACCAGCTAATTAAACAATATATGCACAAACCTCTTAGGACACAAAAACCCAATCCTGTTCTTAAAAAAGGTAAATTTTATTAAAAAACGAAAAGAAAGAAAATACATCTGGAACATAGGCTATGGCTAGATTTTAAAAAGAGCAAATATAATAATAAGCATCAAGATTGGTTTTCTTGAGGTGCTGCTTAAAGGTTACAAGCAAAACAAAAGCACCTGGGGTTAGCACAGAGGAGTCCACAAGCCATAAAGAAATAAACCTAATCCTAGACATTCCCTGATCTACTTACATATCTGGGTTTTCAGATAAGTAGTTTCAAGGTATGATTTGATGATTTTTCATAACGGGTTTAAAGCTTCTTACAGCATTGCTGCTCTGTGTCTGCTCTCTCCGGAGAACAACAACAGACAGACAAAGGGAAAGTTTTTTCCCAATTTTAAGAAGTTCTAGCCTTCCCATTGGCTCTTTTGCTCAGGTGCCCACTCCCTTCCTTTTATTTATGGGCTTTTTTAACCCTTTACAGGTAAAGCAAGTAGAGAACAGCTACTAACGGATTTTGTACCTAACTGGCTGGCTGGGTGCCCATAAAAGGGAGCTACTCCCCTCCCCCCGCTTCATTTATCATAGGAGCCTTTTTCAAAAGTGATTTAGGCACTTTAGGCCAGATCCACAAATGGACTTATGTATCTACCTCCCGTTGATTTCAATGGGAGTCAGGCACCTATGTACCTTTCAAGTTCTGTGGCTTAGGAGCCAAAGAGCCACTGACTTTCAGTGAGACTTGGGGCAGATCTGTAAAAGTGTTTAGGTGCCTAACAATGCAGACAGGTACCTAGAGGAGTTTCCAAGAGCTGAGGTACCTAGTTCCCACCACAGCCAATGGGAGTTAGGCTCCTAATTGCCTACGTGCTTCTGAAAATCCACTATGCGCCTATCTGCAACTTTAGGCATCTAAATCCCTTTGGCAATCTGGCCCTGTCATAAACATACAGCTAAGGGTAGCATAAAATCCCTCCTTTACCTGTAAGGGATTAATCAGTTCCATTAACCTAGTTGGCACCTGACCAGAAGGACCAATGGGGAAAGAAGATACTTTCAAATTGGGGGCGGGGGGTTGTTTGTGCTCTTTGTTGTTCTCTCTGAGACAAAGAGAGAGATCAAGCAAGTAATCCAGCTTCTACTGAAATGATAATCTAAAATTACAGAAATTGTAAGTAATAGCAAGGAAATGTATTAGAGTATCTTTTGTTTTAGCTTGTGAATTTTCCCTGTGCTAAGAGAGAGGTTTATTCCTTTTTTTTTTTTTTTTTGGTAACTTTGAAGTTTTGCCTAGAGGGGAATCCTCTGTGTTTTTAAATCTTATTACCCTGTAAAATTACCTTCCATCCTGATTTTACAGAGGTGCTTCTTCTACTTTTTTCTTTATAATAAAGTTCTGCTTTTAAGAATCTGATTGGGTTTTTAGTGTCCTAAAAACCCAAGGGTCTGGTCTGTGTTCACCTTGTTTACCTATTTGGTTGCTATATTATTCTCAAGCCTCCCCAGGAAAGGGGGTGAAGGGGTTTGGGGGGGATATTTTGGGGAAACAGGAACTCCAAGTAGTCCTTTTCCTGAAACTTTGTCTAACTCACTTGGTGGTGGCAGCGATACCGTCCAAAGACAAGGAATTTGTGCCTTGGGGAAACTTTTAATCTAAGTTGGTGGAATATAAATTTAGGGGGTCTTTCATGTGGGTCCCCACATCTGTACCCCAGAGTTCAGAGTGGGGAGGGAACTTAAGTTTCTAAGTCACTGAGGCCCTTTGGAAAGTTGCTGGTTTTCAGGGCTTTCAGGTGGCAACTCAATTCTCTGTGTCCTGCTCTGCAGCATCAGGCGGGGCCTGCTGCTGGGATGTCTCCTGAGGGACCCCTGCTCCTGCACATGCAAACTTGCAGTGAGGTTGTGGAGGCGGGTCAGCTAGGTCACAGTGTACGATGTGCAGAAAGGTGTGACAGAGCCAGGTATAGGGGTCTTGAGGCCCAGTCACATACCTTCCCACAAGACAGAAGTGATCTCCTCAGGGCCTGACTCACTGCTGGCCCACCCCCGGTGCTGTCACTCACACCAGTGCAAAGTAAGGCACACAGAACAAGCCTCATTTGACGTTTTATGGCCACTTTGCTCTGGTGTTAATGATGCCGCAAGGTGCACGGCACTGGGGAATCAGGCCCTTAGGATGTTCCTAAAGCCACTACTGAAAGTCTCTGATTTGATCAAATGGAGAAGCCCAGTGCTTAATTTGTGCCAGGGCTGAGCCCCAGTATCTCCAGGCTTGGCAGTTCATAGCCCCGCACCTCTAGCTTGGCAGTAAATAGCCCCGGCATCTCTACGCTTGCCGCGTCACGTAAAAAAAAATTGTTTGAGCCCCCAGCACCTTTACAAATTAAGCACTGGAGAAACCAGTTATTCCAATCTTGCTCTGCATGTTAAGACCAATGGTTTCTTCTTTGACAGTTATTCTTTACAATTCTGTTCAAAGAACTAACTTCTCCGGTAGAGTTTTATGTTTCCTTGTGATCAGATGAAGTGATCAGAATCTCCTTGTTACACTAGCATGCTCCTTCACCTTCAGAATAATGATAATCTTTTGCCTCTGGAGATTCGTCTGCCCTGCTGCTCATTCCCTCTGCCCCGAATTCCTGTTCCCTATAGTCAGAGGGCCCATAAGGATGCCACAAACAGAGGATTATGATTTTTAAGATGTAACACAGAAGATAGAGGGAGGTTCTTAGCTCCACCAACTGTGAGCAATTTATCATGTAGGACAGAATTGTAGAATCACAGAAATGTAGGGCCAGAAGGGACCTCCAGAGATCATCTAGTCCATTCCCTGCACTGAGGCAGGACCAAGTTAACCTAGACCATCCCTGAGAGTTGTTTGTCCAACCTGTTCTTACAAACCTCCAATGATGGGGATTCCACAACCTCCCTTAGTAACCTGTTCCAGTGCATAACTATCCTTAGAGTTAGAAAGGTTTTCCTACTTTATAGTCTAAATCTCTCTTGTTGCCAACAAAATCAATTACTTCTTGGACATGGAGAACAACTGATCACTGTCTCCTTTATAACAATGTTTTACATATCTGATTATTATTGTCAGGTCCCCCCTCAGCTGTCTCTTCTCTACACTAAACAGGCCCAATTCTTTCAACCTTTCCTTATAGATCAGGTTTTTGAAACATCTTATTATTTTTTGCTCTCCTCTGGACTTTTTCCAATTTACTTACTTCTGGCAACATGATCCTAACAGGACAATTTCCATTCCCTGCTCCAGGGGAAAGATGAACATCCTCCCCAAGATCTTTGCCAAGACAATCTCAGAATCAGCTTAGCCTCACTAGCCAAATTTTGCTCCCAGTAACTGGTCTTAGTCTAAGGCATTACTAATGCACTAATGCACAATTTAGGCTCTCACATCAACTCCAGTTCCCATGAAGTCAGCGGAGTTGTTCCAGATTGACAGTGGTACAAATGAGATCAGAATGTGGCCCAGCATCTCAGAGCAAGGATCATCCCATCTAAACATTTCTTTAACCCTACTTCCTCTTGGGGTATTTCCAAGAGGCAGGAAGCAGACAGGAAGCAACCCCATAATCTCCTCTGTAGCTGGGCTGCTTGTGGAGAGGATCCCATTTGGGAGCCAGGATTACTGGCTATTTTAGTAGATGTCCATAAATCCACTTCAGAGGGATTTAGTCTCTGAACAGTCACTCTGGAAAAACATTGTGGGGTTCCACATTATAGCAACTTTGTGACCATCTCTGATGTCATGACTGTCACTCTACCATACACCATGGCCTTTCAAAACTCATGGCAACAGCAGAAGGCACAGAACTCTGATCCATTTGCCCAGGCCTCAACCATGGAATCCAAAGAAGAATCTATGTTAGCTGTTCGCAACATAAGGCCTATGGCTAACGCTACGATTTCAGCACAGAAATTTTTAGTAAATTTCACAACAGCGGTGTGGGAGAAAAAACAGTAAGTTATGGCAAGGTTACCAAATAATGTAGTTTGCACTACATCAACATGAAAAGTGACTGAGGGAGGCAAACTAGTGACTGAGGGAGGCAAACTAGTGACAGAGGATGTGGAAAAAGCTAATGTACTCAATGCTTTTTTTGCCTCTGTTTTCACTAACAAGGTCAGCTCCCAGACTGCTACGCTGGGCATCACAAAATGGGGAAGAGATGGCCAGCCCTCTGTGGAGATAGAGGTGGTTAGGGACTATTTAGAAAAGCTGGACGTGCACAAGTCCATGGGGCCGGACGAGTTGCATCCGAGAGTGCTGAAGGAATTGGCGGCTGTGATTGCAGAGCCATTGGCCATTATCTTTGAAAACTCGTGGCGAACCGGGGAAGTCCCGGATGACTGGAAAAAGGCTAATGTAGTGCCAATCTTTAAAAAAGGGAAGAAGGAGGATCCTGGGAACTACAGGCCAGTCAGCCTCACTTCAGTCCCTGGAAAAATCATGGAGCAGGTCCTCAAAGAATCAATCCTGAAGCACTTGCATGAGAGGAAAGTGATCAGGAACAGCCAGCATGGATTCACCAAGGGAAGGTCATGCCTGACTAATCTAATCGCCTTCTATGATGAGATTACTGGTTCTGTGGATGAAGGGAAAGCAGTGGATGTATTGTTTCTTGACTTTAGCAAAGCTTTTGACACGGTCTCCCACAGTATTCTTGTCAGCAAGTTAAGGAAGTATGGGCTGGATGAATGCACTACAAGGTGGGTAGGAAGCTGGCTAGATTGTCGGGCTCAACGGGTAGTTATCAATGGCTCCATGTCTAGTTGGCAGCCGGTATCAAGTGGAGTGCCCCAAGGGTCGGTCCTGGGGCCGGTTTTGTTCAATATCTTCATAAATGATCTGGAGGATGGTGTGGATTGCACTCTCAGCAAATTTGCGGATGATACTAAACTGGGAGGAGTGGTAGATACGCTGGAGGGGAGGGATAGGATACAGAAGGACCTAGACAAATTGGAGGATTGGGCCAAAAGAAATCTGATGAGGTTCAATAAGGATAAGTGCAGGGTCCTGCACTTAGGACGGAAGAACCCAATGCACAGCTACAGACTAGGGACCGAATGGCTAGGCAGCAGTTCTGAGGAAAAGGACCTAGGGGTGACAGTGGACGAGAAGCTGGATATGAGTCAGCAGTGTGCCCTTGTTGCCAAGAAGGCCAATGGCATTTTGGGATGTATAAGTAGGGGCATAGCGAGCAGATCGAGGGACGTGATCGTTCCCCTCTATTCGACATTAGTGAGGCCTCATCTGGAGTACTGTGTCCAGTTTTGGGCCCCACACTTCAAGAAGGATGTGGATAAATTGGAGAGAGTCCAGCGAAGGGCAACAAAAATGATTAGGGGTCTGGAACACATGAGTTATGAGGAGAGGCTGAGGGAACTGGGATTGTTTAGCCTGCAGAAGAGAAGAATGAGGGGGGATTTGATAGCTGCTTTCAACTACCTGAAAGGGGGTTCCAAAGAGGATGGCTCTAGACTGTTCTCAATGGTAGCAGATGACAGAACGAGGAGTAATGGTCTCAAGCTGCAGTGGGGGAGGTTTAGATTGGATATTAGGAAAAACTTTTTCACTAAGAGGGTGGTGAAACACTGGAATGCGTTACCTAGGGAGGTGGTAGAATCTCCTTCCTTAGACGTTTTTAAGGTCAGGCTTGACAAAGCCCTGGCTGGGATGATTTAACTGGGAATTGGTCCTGCTTCGAGCAGGGGGTTGGACTAGATGACCTTCTGGGGTCCCTTCCAACCCTTATATTCTATGATTCTATGATTCTATGAAAAGAGTATAGTGAGGGTGCTGAAAGGGGAGGCCCGGGGTGGTGATGGGGGGCATGCTGTGCTCACCCTGCAGCGGCAGCTCCTGTCCTGCAGTACTTATCCCGACTCCCCATTTTGGGCATTGGGACCTGGTGCATGGGGTCACAGTTCCACTCAGGTTGGGCCCGTCCACGCCTCCACAGATGGAAAAGGAGGGTCAGACGGGCCCAACCTGAGTGGGGCTGCATTCCCATGTGCCAGGTCACAACACCACTTGGTTTGGGGGCTAATCAAATGAGTTTTTACAGCCATATCCAAGATTTCATGGATTTTATTGAAATTCACAATTTCTGTGACCACTGTGGCAACAAAGTAGTAGCCTTATGACACACAATTGTGCATTTCAGATTCCAACCAGTAGAGGGCAGTGGTGCATTTACACACTAGCCAGCTTTATAGTATTGTAATATAATATAATAATTCATATTGTGCCATAAAGGGACATATTCTGTCCTATGTACACGCTGTCAAAGAAGGAGAATGGAGTGTAAATCATGGCAGAAACTGATCCCCACATAGAAGATGTGGGGAGTCAGATGGGATTATTTGATTTACCGAGTTGCTTTTACGGCTCTAGAAGGATGTTTATAGAAATAAGTTCCTCAGGACTCACAAAGGACTTTAACGGGGTCATCATCAGCGCTCACCAAGTCAGCCATGGAAACTGATCAGTGATCTGACCTACCTTCACATTCAGAGGACGGAAGTCTTCGTCCAGAGAGACGATCCGAAACAGAACTGCAGAGGGCATGATTGAGAGAGGAAGAGATTTTCACTGTTACACCTGCAGCCACTCACACAGGGACCATCAGTCATTGAGGCAGCTGCTGTGTGCATGCCTGGCCCAGATACAATGATCCATGGACACATGGCAAGGTTGGACGCATGCACCACACTCCCCTCTGTGACTAGCGGGGAGGCGGTGGGAAGGCAGGTTTACTGCCAGCCGTACTAACTTGGTGATGAGTTGTGGGGTCTCTGGGGAGGCAGGGAGGATTTCCTGCCTTGTATATAATTCCCCACCCAACTCCTTGTACCTGTTTGTCCCGGTTTGTAGATGGGTTTGTCCGTCTGGACAAAGACCAGGCTCTCTGAGTTCTTGACCAGCACCGATTTCCGGCTCCTGAACTCCAGTGTCGGCCCCTTCACCAGCACCGTGAGAAACGCTGCTGATGAGCTGCTGGACTTTGGAACCTGGAGAACAGCAAAAGAGCCGCTGCCTTAGAGGCTCCCCCTTCTGCACTGAGCCTTTGGAGGCTGGAGTTGTACATGAAACCCAACCAAAAAGGTCACCACATACCTACCAGAATCAGGGATTGTGGGGTCTGGGGAAAGAAAGCCAGGCTCTGCCAGTCTCACCTCACCCTGGTTTTGCAGGACTCTTCTCCTCCATCCCCACTAATGTCTCCTTTATGCTGCCAGAATCTTTGCAGTGATGGGGCCTCCACCATCTCCTCCAGAGGAGACGGTGCCTGCCACCCACTGCCATCCCCTCCCAACCAGGAGTCTCTGACTCCTCCACCCCAGTAGCTCATATCTTAAGAACTTCCCCCAGTGTCTTAGTCTCAGCTTTTCCTTCTGCCCATCACCCCTTGTGCTGCCTCTTGCCAAGATTGGGGGTCATTTCTCTTCCCTCATTATGCTCCTTCCTCAAAGGGATTGATGGACTGTGATCGTGTCCCCCCAGCTGTGGATCCCAGTGATGGAGGAAAATGGGAAGCTACATCTGATTCATTACTTCTGTGCTGGGTCCATTTTCTTCTACTGTCCCCGCAGCCAGCCTTGAGAGCTGCAGGGAGAAATCCTGGACTGGCCCCCGGGAGAGGCACCAGATGAGCTCAAGGACGTTGATGGTCTGGAGGAAGTTCTGTAACCTCCTCCGTCCATGGCTTTCTTTCCAGTCTCACTCAGAGGCTTGTGGAGCCCCCTGAGAAATGGGAGGCCAGCTGCAGCCATAAGGTTAGCACTGACTCAGAGAGAAAACCACCCAACAAAGCCAGCCACACCACAGCCTGTAGCAGAGCCTCTCCCAGCATTGTGCCAGGCACTGAGCTCAGCACCGACTGAAAATCACTCCTCTGAGTCACCCACAGCACTGCCAGCAGGAACTGTGGGGTTTTCCGTGAATGTCTCCTACCTGAGCCTGTCTCCGTTTGTGATTTCTGATGGTGTCAGGCCTTGCAGAGGTTGGTCCCAGGCTGTCACTATCTTACAGACTCAGGTAATAAACCCTGTGGGAGTCAGAGACTCACCGTGAATGGGATGCACTTGAACACGTCCTTCTCCGACACCACGTCTGCGATCAGGCTCCTGTTCGCCCCTGCGTATTCCAGCGTGGCGCTCAGCGTCACAGACTCGTTCAGGTGGGTCAGCTGGATACAGACCTTTTCAGGAACGTTGGTGTGGATCAGAAAGGGCACTAGCACCATGTACTGCCTGGGAAGGGGAAGGGCACAGGTCAGAGAGGCGGGGATGGGGAATGGAGAAGGTATTGATGAAAGGGCATGGGCTAGTGTGACAGCCGAATCCCCGACCATCCATCCACACTGTAATTTGTACATACAGGATGGTGAATTTCGTTTTGTTTTTGTAACATACTAGCTGGTCTGCTCAGTCAGCCAGGAACCTAGGACACCACCTGGAGCGAAGGAACTAGTTCTGTGCTAGCAGCGATTGCTGTCCAAGGGCTGTTTGTTCAGGCTCCCAGCAGGGCGTGGAGATGGCTTGAAAAGTTCCAGGCTGTTAACTGATGTTTGTGTATCCCACAGCCCCTCGCTGTATTATCTGAACAGCGGGGAGGGAGCTCAGATGAAATGCTTGTTGTACCTCCATGGAGACTGGCAGGCAGTTACAGAGGAGTGCAGATCAGGGCTTTTAATCTAACCCCCTCTCTAGCTGTCTGTGGATCTAGGTGTCACCAGCTGCCCTCAGTAATGGAGAGATACAAATGTAGGGATGGCTGTGTGCGATGACATCTGAATGTAGGGAATGGCCATTCTGCTAAAGGGGCAGAGTGACCTACTGTACAGGGATTTGGCCAGAAAACTCATTGCTATTGCTGGGTCTGTCAGTGATCTGCTGTGTGCTACTGGGCTTCACTTCTCTGTGCCTCAGTTTCCCCATTTCTCATATGGGGATCCTGAAGATGCTGCTTATGCCCCCCTTTAATGTACACGTAGATCTCTGGATGAAAAGTGCTAGCTTACAAGTTCAAATGTTAATGAGGACTTTACCCAGGTTGGCTCGCCCCTCACCAGCAATGACAACAACAGAGTAATTTGGGCTACAGAATAAGGTTGCCAACTTTCTATTTGGCAGAAAACCTAACACCCTTGCCATGCCCCCTACCCCGCCCCTTCTCCGAGGCCCCACCGCTGCTCACTCCATCCCCCCTCCCTCCATTGCTTGCTCTCCCCCACCCTCACTCATTTTCACCAGTCTGGGGCAGGTGGTTGGGGTGTGGGCTCAGGGGTGGAGACAGAGTTGAGGGGTTCAGAGTGCAGGAGGGGACTCTGGGCTGGGGCAGGGGATTGGGGTGCGGGAGGGAGTGAGGGCTCCAGCTGGGGGTGTGGGCTTTGGGGTGGGGATGAGGGGTTTGGGGTGCAGGAGGGGGCTCAGGGCTGGGGCAGGGGGCTGGTGTGTGGGAGGGGGTTTGGGATGCAGGCTCTGGGCGGTGCTTACTTCAGGAGGCTCCCAGAAAGCTGCCAGCCTGTCTGGCTCCTAGGCAGAGGTACAGCCAAGTGGCTCTGCAGTCTCCATGCTGCCCCTGCATGCAGGTGCCACTCCGCAGTTTCCATTGGCCGCAATTCCTGGCCAATGGGAGATGCGGACCCAGCGCTGGGAGGAGGGAGGGAAGCAGCGTGCAGAGCTCCCCTGGCCACCCCTAAGCCTAGGAGCCAGATGGAGATGCCGGCAGCTTTCTGGGAGCTTAGCAAAGCCAGGCAGGCACCCTGCCTGCCTTGCTGCAGGTGGCCAACCAGACTTTTAATGGCCCAGTCAGCAGTGCTGACCAGAGCCGCCAGGGTCCCTTTTCAAGCAGGCATTCTGGTCAAAAACTGGATGCCTGGCAACCCTACTACAGAAGGCTGCAGCCTGCTGACTCAGAGCAGAGATGCTGGCAGAGCGTCACTGCTGGGAGGCTGGACATGCAGCAGCATGAAGCCCCCTGGGACACCCAGCTTTCTGCCGGGGGGCTGTTCATCTTGCTTAGCCAAGATTTCAAAATGACAAAGTCAGGTAGGAGTAGCCTTAACCTGGCTCTGATTAAATTCCTCTTCGCCCTTTATTAGGCCTGAGCCAAAGCCCATGGAAGTCAATAGGACTCTTTCCATTCACCTCACTGGGCTTTGAATCAAGCCCTGTGTGATTTTCTCTCTATCTTCAATCTCAGCCAATAAAGGCTGGGAGCTGATTCTTCCCTGCCTGGCACCTGGTGCAGAATGAGTGCAAAGGGGGCCTGAAATCAGCCCTTCTGCTCTGATAGCATTTGACACCCACTCTGCCAGACACTGCATGGCACACACACTTCTCCCTCTGGGGTGAGGATGACAGAAGGAACAACATGTGACAGTCGTCTGGCTTAACACTCTAGTGGCAGGCTCGCTGGTACTGCAGTGATTAGCACACTATGAGAACCTACATAGAATAGAGACCAACGGCTGAGCCGTAAGAAGGCAGCAGGCAGTTTCCTGCAGTTGCACCTTATGGCTGCTAGAGGCAGCTGTGGCATTTGCTGAGCAGGTAGCCAGGTGCCTCCTCTGTCCCTGCTGGATCAGAGCAAGCGGCCTCGAGGTGATGGCAGAGGCTGTTAGGATATAGATATTCAGGCCTGTCTGCAAAGGCCTGTACTTTAAGAATTTAGGGGTATTCTTATCACTTGGCTAGTTCTAGAGGTATAAAAGAAAGAATCAAAATCACTGTCTGCTGGTGTAAGGGCCTTCTCTTACTGTGACAGTTTGAGGCCCTGTTCTTAGGCTAAGGCCTTTGGCTAAGCAACAGAGGCAGCCATAAGCTGTGAAGCGAACGGTCACATCCTCACATTCCAAACTAGTCACATTGAAAGAAGGTGCTATTGGGCTGTTAGGAATACACTCCTGTCCTGGTAATGCCTATCGCCTCCAGAGAAAGGGAAGTGCCTAGAAGATGTAAAAGGAAACTTAGTTTGATAGCATCCTGTCTGGCAAGAACTCACTTATCAATAGCTGGGATGTGAAATCCTCACTTCTGTATTGTTTTGTCATTATAGTTCCCACTTTGCTATTGTTTGTCTGTATAATCTCTGTCTGGTTCTGTGATTGTTTCTGTTTGCTGTATAATTAATTTTACTGGGTGTAAACTAATTAAGGGGGTGGGATATAATTGGTTAGCTAATCATGTTACAGTATGTTAGGATTGGTTAGTTAAATTTCAGTAGAATGATTGGTTAAGGTATAGCTAAGAATATTACTATATAAATTAGGGGCAAACAGGAAGTAAGTTGGGATTCGAACATAAGGAAAAAGGAACTTGTATTTAAGCTTGCTGGAAGTTCACCCCAATAAACATCGAATTGTTTGCACCTTCGGACTTCGGGTATTGTTGCTCTCTGTTCATGCGAGAAGGACCAAGTGGGAGAGTGAAGGAATAAGCTCTCTAACAGAGGCTGCAGAAGCTGGCTGGGGCAAAAGCACAATGTGAATAGGGTTACCATATTTGAACATTCAAAAAAGAGGACAGTCCACAGGGTGGCGGGGTAACCTTCGCTGTTGCAGCTGCCCTCCCGGATGTTTTTAAATATTTAAATAGGTCCATATTTTCCCGGGAGGAATTTTTAAAATTTAAAAATTCCTCCCAGATGCTGATTTAAGAACCAAAAAGCCGGACATATCCGGGAAAATATGGACGTATGGTAACCCTAAATGTGAGGGGTCTGATATTGGCCGCCACCACCCCCCTGTACAACCCCTCAGCCCCCATCAATCTGTACAGCCCAATGCGTTGCAGGAGTTCCAGCCCCAGCAGCCTTACCACTCCAGCAGCTCTGCCCCCAGAGACCTTTCAGCACTGACCTTCCATAGCGGCCATGTGTTGTTGAGCTCCTTGGCCAGCCCTCCCCCCCTCTGCTTGGGGCAGGGTTTGTCGACCATGAGCTTAAATTTATGCTCATATGCAAAGTATTCACAAATATGCAAATTATTTCATTAAAATGTGCATAAAATGCCTCACACAGAGCAGAATAGACTTGGTGACAGTGCCTCATATTGTGTTCTTCCTCTGCCCTTTCAGCAAGAACAAATTTTCGTCTAGACTAAGAGAATGAGATAGGACAAAAGGCAGGTCTTGGTAAGACAGATGGAGAGAGAAGAGCGGGGCCTCTCCTGTAGGATGCAACTGAACACAAAATGGCAGCTGCTTCTGCAGCACAGAGGGGGGGTCTTCTCTCCATTTAAAGGTGCAAGACGCAGACAAGTATGACCAGATGAAACTACATGCTCAGAGTGGAACAGAGCGAGGCAAAAGAATTCAGAGGGAACCATTTTCTGTCAGAAAATGCAGTTTCATCATAATGGAGACAATTTGCAGGAGCGTGTCAATTTTGACAACATTTTGAATGGGAAAATGTCTAAATGAATTGTTTTGACATTCTTATTTAAATAACGTAAAAATGTTTTGACTTTTATATTATAATATGAATGTTATAGAATATTAAATATAATACATTATGATGTGCAACATTTTATATTACAGGTTTCAGAGTAGCAGCCGTGTTAGTCTGTATTCGCAAAAAGAAAAGGAGGACTTGTGGCACCTTGGAGACTAACCAATTTATTTGAGCATGAGCTTTCGTGAGCTAAAGCTTATGCTCAAGTCTCTAAGGTGCCACAAGTACTCCTTTTCATTTTATATTACAGTACAATGTTTTGACATTATCAAAAGGTAAGTGTTTAGATTTTCTGAATAAAATTTTTCTGGGATTTCCATTCCATGAAAAATTTGGACTGTGTGTTCCAATTTGCAATGAGACCAATTTTTGAAATGTCAGAATTTCTGGCAGGGTGGCAATTCAAAACAATATGGAGTGAATTGGATTAAGAGATCTGACATTGGAGTTATGGGTCTAGATCTATCTAGAGTGACCAGGTGACCGGAACACCTGGTCGAAAAGGCATACTGGTGGCTCCGGTCAACACTGCTGACCGGGCTGCTGACTGTCTGGTTGGCGGCGCCACGCAGCGGGGCTGGCAGGCTCCATGCTAACCTCCACTCCACACGGCTCCCAGGGAGCAGCCAGCATGTCCCCACTCTGGCTCCTACGGGTAAGTGCAGCCACGGGGCTCTGCACGCTGCCTCCGCCCCAAGCACCGCCCCCAGAGCTTCCATGGGCCAGGAACCATGGCCAATGGGAACGGCAGGGGCGGTGCCTGCAGATGGAGTAGTGCTCAGAGCTGCCTGGCCGAGCCTCTGCGTAGAAGCCGGAGGGGGGACATGCTGCTGCTTCCAGAAGCTACTTGAGATAAGCGCTGCCCGGAGCCTGCACCCCCAACCCCCGCCCCAGACTCGATCCTCCTCCTGCCCTCTGAACCCCTCAATCCCAGCCCGGAGCACCATCCTTCACCCCACCCCATCATCCTCAGCCCCACCCCAGAGTCCGCACCCCCAACTGAAGCCCTCACTTCCCCCCACATTCCCCAACCTCCTGACCCAGCCCTCCCGCTCTCCAAACCCCTCCCACTCTCCAAACTCCAAAACTCAGTCCCAGCCCGGAGCACCCTCCTGCACCCCAAAACCCCTCATGCCCAGCCCCACCCAGAGCCTTACCCCGCATGCCTCAACCCCAGCCCAGAGTCCCCTCCTGCACTCTGAACCCCTCAGCCCGGAGCCCCTTCCTGCACCCCAAATCCCTCATCTCCAGCCCCACATCAGAGCCCTCACCCCCAGCCGAAGCCCTCACCCCCCCCACACCCCAACCCCTACCCAGGCCTGGAGTCCCTTCCCGCACCCTGAACCCCTAATTTCTGGCCCCACCCCAGAGCCTGCACCCCCAGCTGCAGCCGTCACCCCCTCCTGTACCCCAGTCCCCTGAGCCAGCCTGGTGAAAATGAGCAAGTGAGTGAGGGTGGGGAGAGCGAACGAGAAAGGGAGGGGGGATGGAGTGAGCAGGGGGCGGGACATGGTTGGGGCCTTGGAGGAGGGGGAAGGGCAGAGGTCAGGGCAAGGGTGTTCAGTTTTGTGCAAATAGAAAGTTATCAACCCTAGATCCATCGCCTGCTGAATCAGGGCATTGTAAATTGTACCTGCTCATGTACACCAGCGAGGAGGGGTGCTGCCCCCAGGACAGGGCAGTGCCCACTGGAGGGCAAATGTTCTAATCTATGCCGGGCTCCAAGGGAAGTCTCTGCCAGTCGACACTGCCAAAGGGATACCCTGAGTCTGCCCAGCTCCTGGCTGAGCTTGGCCACGCGCCCTCTTCAGGCCCCTCAATGGAGGCGAGGTTGCAGCCAAGTTGCTAGTTTGCAGTGCCCCAGGTGGATATTCCGGCAGAATGTGCCACAGCCAGGGTCTGTGCTGACAGACAGGAATCTAGGTCACTGACTCTCTTTGGGAACAAGCACAGTCTGTGGCTGCCAAGGGAAGCAAACTGGCTTTAAAGAAGAGGAGAAAAGATCAACACTTTTCTGAGCTCTCCCTCACAGGCAAGGAAACTGGAATAACAGGGGGGCTGCAGGGCAGGACTGAGGGGCATTGGCAGAGCTGTGTGGGGAGCCCAGGACTGGAATGGCAGGGGGGCTGCAGGGCAGGTCTGAGTGGCATTGGCAGCGCTGTGAGGGGGATGAAGGAAAGAAAAGAGAAGACAGCACGAGCCCCCTCTGCGTGTGCAGCTTACGGTTCGGTGGTGGGTGACGTGTCTACAGGGAGGAGGAAGAGGAGCAGGAGGAAGATGTTCGGGCCTCCGGGCAGCCTGTCCTTGCCCATGGTGCAGAGCGAGGATGGTGAGTGAGGCAGACACACAGCCTTGTCCGCTGGCTCCCTGCACCCTGGCTGTCCGCTGGGTCCGCCCCTTTATACCTCTCTCTGCAAACAGCCCCCGGGAGGGGCGAGACAAGGGCAGGGGACCAGGACCATTTGGGCAATGGAGAGAGGTACGTGAGGAGGAGCCAGAGCCAATCTTAACTCATGGCACAGAAAATATCCCTGGCCAGACCCTGAGAAACTGATCACTCTGGTTACAGTGTGTATGGTAACACCCATTGTTTCATGTTCTCTGTGTATATAAAATCTCCCCACTGCATTTTCCACTACATGCATCCGATGAAGTGAGCTGTAGCTCACAAAAGCTTATGCTCAAATAAATTTGTTCGTCTCTAAGGTGCCACAAGTCCTGCTTTTCTTTTTTTGGGGAGAAGAGTTTTTATTGGAGGTGTTCATGTGAGACACTGTCCTGTGTCTGAACCATTCACCCCCATCCCCTCTTTGTATCCCTCCAGCAGCACTCTGCGGTGGTTGGAGAAGCCCTTTAGCTCATTACTGGGCCAGTCCAGCATTCTGTGGGGACTGGAACAAACTCCCCAAATCCTGCCCAGCGTTTCCAGAGAAACCTTTTCCGTCCCCATTCCCAGTACTACCAACCACAAGAGATCAAAAAGCGCAAGTCAGACCCTCAACATCATCAGATTGGCCACCCCAAAATCTAAGGTTCTATATAAAGAAAGACACCATTGTGGTTTTGGTCTTTTGAACTCCCCGTGCCCCTCCCCCGTGTGTGTGTGCAACTGTCAGTCTGACCCACTCTACCAGAGGTTTGGGTTAAGGGGATTTGGGGCCCTGCTGCAGGAGCTCTCACCCCCACATCTGCCTGTCCCATGTCCAGGCATTAATCCTGTTCCCCAGCCCCCATCAGTTCCCCAAGCAGCCCCCTTCAGCCTCATGTCAGTTCTTACTGGGTCTCTTCACCCCTCTTTCTCCAAGGCCTGAGGGGGAGGGGCTTGCAGTGGGGTCCCCACCCCTTCTCCCAGGCTGGAGGGGTACCAGGGCTCTTCCCCCCTCCCCCTTCCCAGACCAGATGCAGAAGGGAGGGAAGGGGAGTGGGGAGGAGCAGAGGAGCCATCTGGAGCGGCTGGGCTCTTTGCTCCCCTCTCCCCGTTCCCCTCCTGTGAGAATGGCGATGGGAGGGGAGAGTCTCCAGACCTCTGGCCCCAGGTGGGTGCCTTGTGTCAGTGTGAGGCGAGCTCCAGCCCCTCTCCCCCTGCTCCCCCCCCCCCCCCCGAAGTCCCATCACTCACAAAAAAAATCTCAAGTGTTGGCAATATTGCATATCACATTCCACTGGCAGCTTAGCCAGTTACCTCTAATAATAGCCCCCTGGCACACATGCAGGCAGGCCCGTTGAGAGAAATTGGGGCCCTGGGACATCACGTGTGTGGGGGCCCCTCCCCTTCCCATTTACTTTATTTATGCAGATGTTACCAAAGTTTTGGGGACCCCTGAGTCTGGGGACCCCGTACAATTGTCTCCGTACAATTGTCTTTCCTGCCTCTAGTCAGTCCTGTCTGTAGGGAATGACAGTGAGAGACCATTTTGTGTACCATTGCCCCCTGCTGCATGGTGAGTGTCAGAGCTGGCCATGGGTTTAAAAGTGCCCTTTGCTGGCTGAATGAGTGGAGCTGCCCCTGTAGGGGTGTGTTTGTGCCACTGCCCTTGCAGGAGTGCATAGAGCACACTTGCTCACGTCCACAGTACTTGCCTATCCTCGCTGAACAGCTGTGCTAGAGTAGGAGCTGGGATGCACCATATTCCAACCAGTGGGAGGCAACATCAGACTAGCTCTGTGCATATCAGCGCCCTCAGTTGTTCAAGGGAGTGGGACTGCTTCTTTAGCTCCCCAGGAAGCTGGTGCTAGTTGTGAATGGTCTCTTTGGAACACAGTAAGACTGGCACACTGGGGCTCTAAATGGAGAAAGGAGAGTCTTGTGAGCAAAGACATTGGAGTTTGGAGAAGTGGGTTCATTTCTCAGCCCTGCCACCGATTTACTGTTTGACCTTGGGCACATCTGTTCCCCTCTGTATCTGACTTTACCCATCTGAAAAATGGAGGTAATGATCCTGACCCACCTGGCAGGGGCGTGTTGGGCTCAACTGATTAATGGTTGTCAAGTGGTTTAGGATCTTCTGGTGGGAGGTGCAATAGAAAGGCAAAGGAAGAAGCCCTTTTTGTGGCACATCGGAAAACAGAAGTCAGACATTCTGATGGTTAATCCCTTACCCCATTAGTGAATTAAGGTCATTCAAGGAGTGTGGGAAGCCCCTGCCCTGCTTCCACGAAACGGAGATCTGAAATACAAGGGGAAGCCTTAGTCAGGAGAAGGATGGATCCTATTTAGACCAATAGACCTAGGAGAATAAGTAATTTTTTGATTTGCTGACAATTGCAAATTTTTTTTAATTGGTTTGGATTGAACCAAAACCAAAAGTTTTCTAAACACTTAGTGAATCAAAAGGTTGAAAAAAAAATTGGGGTCAATTGAAACATTTCATTCAACCTGAAAGAAAAAAATTCATTTTGATTTTGAGTCTTTTTTAATGTATTTGAGTATTTTTAAAATACAATTAAAAGAACTGTTGCAAGGAAAAGCAATTTTGAACCAAAAAAATCAAAACATTTTATTTGAAAATGTCAGAACAAAATGTTCTGGGGGTTTTTTGGAATTTGGTTTAAGGGTTTTTTTTAACCAAAATAATTTGCAAAAGTTTTGCTGTTGCCCAATCTTCATTTTTCACCAAAAAGGAGTTTTGTGTAAACAATGTCACTCTGCTGTAAACCCCAACCTGCACGGGCCTAGCTCTAGTCACTTCCAGTACAAACAGTTGGAAAAGGTTATGCAATTGGCTGTGGATGATAACCCAGCCTTCACCTCCCTGTGGTCCTGGCCAAGACGTGGGAAGTGAAAACATGTGAAGAGTTAGCACTTGAATAGTCCTTGGAGCATGGACTCAAAGTGCCCTGTTAACAGTGGGTTAATACCCTGCTGCACCCTATTTCCTCTCAAAGGAGATTTTTTAATTCCCCAGCTGTCAGTTTGTGTGAGATCGACCTTGCTTCCACTATCCAACTCCTGAAGTCATTGGCTGATTTTTTTACGGTACCTGAGGGAAGCACTTGCACTCCTTGAGTCCCAAAACATAAACAGCAGACATGTGAATCCAACACACCAAATACAGAGCTGCAGGGGCCACAAAAATGTGGAATAGAAACTTTTAACATCATAATTGACCCTGACATAATTGAAAATGCCCCTGCAAAGTCGTCTGGAAGCTTATTGTGATGGATTCCCCCCCAGGGTGCCACCTGGAACTGGGGTACCACTTAGCCCTGTGACACACCAGCTGGGGCTCCCTCTCACACTGTGCTGCTGTGACAAGCTGCAGACACGCTCCTGATTTTACAGTTCCACCAGCAAACACACAGGTAGGGACACACCCAGCTGCAGTTACATGCAGGCTCTCTGACCAGCCACTGCGTGTGAACAAACAATAGAGGGGCTACCGCCAAAATAACCCCCAGATCCCCAGCCTAGGACCCCAGAGCGGTACCATGCTATCCTGGTCCAAACCCCAAACAGTATGAATTTATTATCCAGTTCACTTCCCACCTGCTCAATGTGGAGAGGAAATGCAACAGCCCCTGCCCCTTGAGCTAAGATTTCCAGGCACTTCACTCTAAACTCACTGGTTTAGATTGAAACAAGTTTATTAACTACAAAAGATAGATTTTAAGTGATTATAAATGATAGCAAACAGATCAAAGCAGATTACCTAGTAAATAAACAAAAAATGAAAACTAAGCTTAATATACTATATAGATTGTATATGAATAGCAGATTCTCACCTAAGAGATGATACAAGCAGACGTGTAGATTCTTAAGGCACAAGCTGCATTAGCTTTACAGCTTGGGTTTCTCAGGTCTTCATATACAGGCTAAAAATCCCTTTAGCCTGGGTCCAGCAATTCCCCCAATTCAGTCTTTTTCCTCAGGTGTTTACAGGAGTCTTCTTGTGTGGGGAGTGAAGACCGTAGATGATGTCACTCCCTCCTTTATATAACTTTAGCATATGGTGGGAACCCTTTGTTTCAAAACTTGGTTCCCAGACCGATTTGTGGAAAAATACTGATATCCGAAGATAGAGTCCAGAATCATATGACCTGATCACATGTCCTTGTAGAGTCTTAGCAGCCATTACTTACAGGCTGTCTGGAGTGTTCTCAGGAAGGCATACCAGGTAGGAGATAAGCTTCTCCTAAGGCCTATTGTTTTGCATAATGGTTCATTGCCCTGAATAGGCCCTTCCCAACCAGCTATCTAGACTGAAAGCATCTTGTCTAGTGGGTGTTACCCAAGTGTAACAACAATTGAAGTACCAATACATAGTCAGTATTTATAACTTCAGATATAAAAATTATATCTGCATACAAATAGGATAATCATATTCAGCAAATCATAACTTTTCCAATGACACCTCACACGATATCTTATACAAAATGCATCATAATTATGCCATAACCATATTATAATAATATTACTTTGATGAATATGGGGTGCAGTGTCACACTTATTTTCATTTATTTAAGGATTTTGGCTCCCTAAACAACTTCAACAATATGCCGCACACTGAGATTTCTTCTGCAGCTGCAGCTTTGTTTGCAAAATATGCATCTGATCCCGAAGCAACTTTTGAAGATGAGTTTGAACAGTTTTGTTCTTTTGCAAACAATGAAGATTGTTACTTGCCAGCTAACCTACTAGAGCAGCTGAAGGCTCCCTACCCAGAATCCACTTTTCCAAATGTGGGCATCACTCTTCGTATTTACCTCACATTGCCGGTTACAAATGCTGAAGCGGAACAGTCATTCTCCAGGATGAGGAGAATTAAAACCTCAGACCGCGCAACAATGGGGACAGGCCAGAATAAACACCCTAGCCTTAATGTCTGTTCAGAGTGATGTGACGTGAACCCTGGATTACAGTGACATAATTGAAAATTTTGCAAGCCACTGATCTGGGAAGAAGCCTCTGCAGTACTATAGTTAAGGCCATGTTTCTGTTGTGCATTTATATAGTCAGTTTGAGTTGTTTGGATTTAATGATCTAAGAATTCAATAAACCAGCAGTTCTC